AGAGGCAAACCATGAGAGACTCTTGAATGCTGACAAAAACTGAGGACTGATGGATGTGGGGGGGAGGGGGGGATGGGCATGGAGGAGGACACTTGTGGGGATGAGCACTGAGTGTTATGTGGAAACTAATTTGACAATAAACTATTTGAAAAAAAATAAAATAAAGGAAATCAGGCAAGAGATAAAAAAAATAAAATAAAATGAGTCTCTTGTAGGCAGCATAGAGATGGGTATCTCTTTTTATCCATTCCATCATCCTGTCTTTTGATTAGAGCAGTTAGTCCATTTAAAGTCATTATTGATAGATATGTACTTAACTGCCATTTTGTTAATTGTTTTCTGCTTGCTTTCATAGTTCTCTGTTCCTTCTTTTCTGGCTCTCCTCCCTTGTGGTTTGAGGGTTTTCTTTAGTTTTATGTGTAGATTCCTCTCTCTCTCTTTTTATTTTTTGTATCTATTATAGGTGTTTGATTTGTGATAACCATGGGGTACATGGAAAGTGTTAATGCTGGCTCCCCAAGTGTCCAGCTATCTAGGCTAGGGGAGGAGAAGAAAAACAGTGCCCGCCAGCCCTTTTGTTCCTGCAGATGGAGACATCTGCAGATCCCCTTTTGGACATGTCCTAAAATTAGTCAATAAATCTTCACGTATACCCCAGGCACTTTTCAAACTGCTGCTGCTCTGCTGTGTCCCCAGCAAGTTATTTCACATGCTGGCTCTATAAAGGTAGGGACTCAGCTACCTATCATCTTCTGGCTCTCCTGGAGTGAGGTGCTGCTGATTTTCAAAGCCAGATGTTACGGGTACTTGTCTTCTCAGTGCAGGTCCCCAGGGCCAGAGGTGCCCAGTGTGGGGTCTGATCCCCTCCTTCCTCCATACTTGTGATGTACTTCCCATTTGTAGTTAGTTATACTGGAGGTATTGTTCCCAACTGTCCTGCTGCCCCTTTTTGATATGGACTTCTCTCTACAACTAGCTTTGGAAGATCTGTTTTGCCAGTCTTCAGGTCATTTTCAGAGTTAGTTCAATAGATGTAGCTGTTGCTTCAGTTTGTCTGTGGGATAGAGTGAACTCAGGATCCTCCTGTCATCTTCTCTTTTTTCTTTAATAATGTCCACCAATTATGGCTGTTTTGCTAGCAAGTGGGTCTCTGAAGCTCGTCTTCCAGGAGTCATTGAGAAGTCATACCATCCTAAAAGTCATCACCCACTTAATTCTTCTCTTTTAATGTCATTTACATGCCAACTCTTCATTTAGAGCAGCCAATTGAGGCATTTTGAGAAATAAGGCCATTCTTGAAAATGCTAAATTTTATTCTTATCACAAATTATAGAGTAATTTGAAACACTTGTGCATTTCAAGAGAGGTAGGAAAATAACTATAGAAATAGCAACTCTTATCTAGCAAGAAATTTCAAGGCTACTCTGTTGCTATCTAAAGAAACTTAAAAATATCTGAACTGAAACCACCACAACAAAAATGACAATAACAGCTTGTATTTAACCATAATTTTTTGACTAGCATTTTCAAGGGAAAAAATCCAAATAGCAAAATATTAATAGATTTTTTTTTAAAGTACAATATATAAAAGATTAAAAGTGAACTGTTCCCTTTCTCTTTTGAGGAGCCACTCTTAACAGTGATTTTGGACCTTTTTATTTGCATATATTCAAAACATATATGTATTTTAGGGGGGTTATTTTTCTAAAAAAAAAAAAAGATCATAAACTGTTTTGAAACCTGCCCTTTTTTCACTCGATATATGATGGGCAACCAACCTTTCAGATACCTATATGCAAATGACACTTTTTCTTGGCTGCCAACATTTCATAGTATGGATTTATCCCAATTCTCTTGTTAGGTGTTTATTTGACGTTTTTCATTATTACCAATAATCATACAGTAAGCATCACTGTACAGAAAGCTTTGCATCCTCTGTCTACTGTCATTGTTGAGTTTAAGGGTATCCACATATTAAATATGGATCATATAGGTCACATCCTTCTCCAGAAGAATATCATTATATCAATTTCACTTCTAACAGTGTATCAAAGTTTTCTTTTCCTTCATATCCTCAAAAAGACTGAATATTATTAAAATCCTCTGCAATCCTGATGTAACTAAGTTTGAATTTTCCCTTTTTCAACAAAAGAAATTAATATTTCACCAAATAAAGAGATTGAGCATTTTTTCATATTTGTGTTAGAAACTGAATTATATCCCCTCAAATTTCAAAATTCACATGTTTGAAGCTCTAACCCCCTAATGTGGCTATATTTAAAGACAGGGTCTTTAAAGAGGTAAACTAAGGTTAAATGAGGTCACAAGAGTGGGGCCCTAATCCAATATAACTGGTGTCCTCATAACAAGAGAAAAAGACACCAGGGAGATACACCTGTACACACAGAAAAGGCCAACTGCAAGCCAAGGAGAGAGGCCTTGGGAGAAACCAAACCTGCTCACACCAGTGTCCAGACTGTGAGGAATGAATTTCTGTCATTGAAGCCACACAGTCTGTGGTATTGTTACAGTAGCCCTGGCAAACTAACATAAGCCATGTAATGTTTCTTTCTTTCTTTTTTTTTTTATGTTTTATTTCTGAGAGAGAGAGAGAGACAGCGTGAGCAGGGGAGGGTCAGAGAGGGAGGGAGACAGAATCCGAAACAGGTTCTAGGCTCTGAGCTGGCTGTCAGCACAGAGCGCGACATGGGGCTCAAATCCATGAACCGTGAGACCATGACCCGAGCCGAAGTCGGACGCTTAACAGACTGAGCCACCCAGGTGCCCCAGCCATGTAATGTTTCTTCCATGAACTACCTACTCATGTCATTTGTTCATTTATCTACTGGGTTGTATCATCTTATTGACTTAATGGACTATGAAATACTGAATAATAACCTTTTTAAATGCTAAATATGGGGCGCCTGAGTGGCTCAGTCAGCTAAGCATCCGACTTCGGCTCAGGTCACAATCTCATGGTTTGTGGGTTCGGGCCCCATGTCAGGCTCTGTGCTGACAGCTAGCTCAGAGCCTGTTTCAGATTCTGTGTCTCCCTCTCTCTCTGACCCTCCCCTTCTCATACTATCTCTCTCTCAGAAATAAATAAAACATTTAAAAATAAATAAATAAATAAATGCTAAATATGTTCTAAATATAAAAGGCAAAATGAAGCCAGAATCTTCGAGGTTAGTATCCATATAATTAAAATTATGATCTTATACCAACACTTCCAAATTACACTTAAACTATATAGAATACTCTCCAGGGCAACTGGATGGCTCAGTAGGTTAAAGGTCCTACTCTTGATTTCAACTGAGGTTATGATCTTAACAGTTTGAGCCCTGTTAAGTGCAGAGCCTGCTTATGATTCTCTCTCTCTCTCTCTCTCTCTTTCTGCCTTTACCCTGCTCACACATGCACTTGCTCATTCACTTTCTCTCAAAATAAATAACTTAAAAAAAAAAAAAAAGAATTTACTCTCCAAATACCTAACCAATGGCATTTGACAGAAAAATCACAACACATTCTTCATCTCTCTGATGCAGTTAAATGGGTCAGTACAAAAGCAAATCAATTTGATCTAAACGGTAAGATTCTTGAAAGAAATACTAAAACTATATGAAAAATTTTAAAGTAAAGCAGAGTATTTGTTTCTCTGATCCTCTCAATTTTTTGCCCCAGTAGTCTATTCTTCTTTATTGGTTTCTTAAAAAATTTTTTTTGAATGTTTATTTTTATTTTTGAGAGAGAAACAGAGCGGGGAAGGGAAGACAAAGAATCTGAAGCAGTCTCCAGGCTTTGAGCTGTCAGCACAGAGCCAGATGTGGGGCTCAGACCCACGAACTATGGTAACATGACCTGAACTGAAGTTGGATGCTTAACTGACTGAGCCACCCAGGTGCCCGTTATTCTTCTTTATTGTTAAATAGTATTCTACTGTATGGATTGCGCCACATTTTGTTTGCTTATTCACCTATGAAAAGATAATATGGGCTATTTCTAGTCTTAGTCTTTTATGTCTTTAAATCTATTTTACTTACTAAAATTCCTCCATGAGACATACAGAGGTTCTCCTGGTTCCTGATGAAGGTTGATATTATCCCATAATAGCTGAATATACACAAGTTTGCTATCCTGGGACAGAGATGACAGAGGAAGCTAAAAGAAATCAATAGAAAGTATTAGTACTTGAAGCATAATAATTACACATAGTGGATCTAGCAAAGCTTGGTTATATAAAACAAATAAGTTCTTTCAAAACTGTGGCCTAAAATTCTAAGCAAAAATTTTCAATTTTTATTTGTGTTGATAAATAGTCCTACTTTCTCAGGTGCAGGTTTCTCATTCCTACTTCCACAGACTGGAAAGCCAACTTGGTAACTGGCACTGTGGCCACATGAAAGGTTAGTCACCATTATAGCAAATTTCAAGGTAGAGAAAGTATAACAGTTTCTACTATCTTGTGCGTTACTTAAAATAATTGAGCCAAAATAGAGTGTAATAACTTTAAGAAAATATTTTTTGTGCCCCTGGTGTATGTTGGGGTGTCTCTAATCAATATCATGAAATGAAGGAACTCCAGGAGCCCACTGTCTCCAACGGGATTGGGCACCCCAGCACAAGTAGAGTAAGGGCTTTAAAGTTAGAGAGCCAGACTGTGATCTTGGCTCCCTGTCACGTACCAGGTGTGTGACCTTGTGGAAATTATTTATTAACTACTCCAACCTTTAATTATATCACCTGATAAATATGCATAAAAGGAGTCCTTTAAAATAGTTGTTGTGAGAAGGTCAGCTGGTGATATGATAGCTCAGAATAAAAGCTACCTTTTCTAGCCACCCTTGCAAACTAGATACGACCATATAACTAAGTTTAGGCCACACAGATACATAGAGAAATGTTATGTACAACGCCAGGACCTATCCCTAGAGAAAGAAGACATACTCTTCTCCATTCATTTTTATCCTTACTGCTGGCTGGAATCTGGACATGATGGCTGGAAACAGAGCAGCCATCCTAGACCAGGTAGAGAACTTGGAAATGGAGGTTACACATACGCTGAGCAAAAAGACAAGGAATGGGGCACCTGGGCAGCTCAGTTGGTTGAGCATCCGACTTCGGCTCAGGTCATGATCTCACAGTTTGTGGGTTCGAGCCTCACGTCGGGCTCTGTGCTGACAGCTAGCTCAGAGCCTGGAGCCTGCTTCAGATTCTGTGTCTCCCTTTCTCTCTGACCCTCCCCTGCTCATGCTGTCTCTGACTCTCAAAAATAAATAAAAAAACATTTAAAATTAAAAAAAAAAAAAAAAAAGACAAGGATCTCAGGTCCCTAAGACTCTATCATGCCAGGACCACCTAACCAAACTTTTATGTGAGAAAGAAGTAACGTACATCTTGTTAAGGCACTGTTGTACACTTGTTACTTTGAAGTTATGCCTCATTCTAACCAACACCAATGTAGTAAAAGTATAGAAGTTGGCACCCTACCTGTACACCTCCATTACAATGTTCAGATGTGAGGATAAGTCCTGGCAAGTTACTAGGCAGGTCCAAACGTCTGAAATACCAAACGAGGTTCCAGAAAATGATTGGATGTTTATTGATGAAAGAGGATGTGTGAATCACTTGATCACCTTCATTTTCTAGCAAAGATTCAAGTTCTTTACGAAGCACTAGAGGACTCAAGTAGGGCACAGAAACAGGGGGAGGATTGGGTCTTTTTCCTAAAGGATCCTTTAAAAAAAAAAAACAACAACAACAAATGAACATTATCTATTCTGTATGTTTAAGAGTACTTCTCAAGGAGATTATGCTTTATCTATCCTTTCAAAATCAGTTATTTCAGAACCATTGCTACATGCAGTCTACCCTAATGAAAACCTAAAACAAGAAAAAAATACTAAATCATAAATGCCCTTAAGTTAAATGATTACAAAAGAAAATAGGGGCGCCTGGGTGGCTTAGTCGGTTAAGTGTCCCGACTTTCGCTTAGGTCATGATCTCACGGTTCGTGGGTTCGAGCCCCACGTCGGGCTCTGTGCTGACTGCCAGCTCAGAGCCTGGAGGCTGTTTCAGAGTCTGTATCTCCCTCTCCCTCTGACCCTCCCCTGCTCACGCTGTCTCTCTCTCCCTCTCCTGGAAATAAATAAAACATTAAAAAAAAATAATAATAATAATCCAGATAACAGACCCTATTTTAAACATACAGAGTTTCTCTATCAGATTGATTTTTTTTCCTTTTCAATTTCTTTCATAAAAAGTACTACATTTCAGGGGCGCCTGGGTGGCTCAGTCAGTTAAGCGTCCGACTTCGGCTCAGGTCATGATCTCACGGTTGTGGGTTTGAGCCCCAAGTCTGGCTCCGTGCTGACAGCCAGCTCAGAGCCTGGAGCCTGTTTCAGATTCTGTCTCCCTCCCTCTCTGACCCTCCCCTGCTCACACTGTCTCTTTCTCTCTCAGAAATACATAAAAATAAAAGTACTACATTTCAGGGATGCCTGGGTAGCTCAGGCGGTTAAGCACTGATTCTTGATTTAAGTTCAGGTCATGGTTTCACGGTTGTGAGGTCGAGCTCTGCATCAGGCTCTGTGCTGAGCAGGGAGCCTGCATGGGATTCTCTCTCTCCCTCTGCTGCCCCCTGCCAGTGTGTGTTCTTGCACACACATGCGCTCGCTTGCTCTCAAAAACAAAACAAAAAGAAATCCTACATTTCAGATTATTTATAATGATGATTCAAAAAAAAGTTGACTTTATCTTCTTCCTATAATTCTAGATAGGGCACTTTTTGTGTTAATATTATTTGATGACTCCTTTTAAAATTATGTCTAATGTGCTTTTACATTTGATTGCAACAGCTAAAGAGCAGTCTTACAAATAACAAAGGAAAAAAGATTCCAATTCAGTCGTTAGAAGTTGTGCATATCATAATCAAAATAAAATGCTTATGACCAACTCATTAATGGGGACCCCTAGTGCCCAGGCTGTGGTCTCCAAATACCATTTCCTTTAAAATGAACCAGAGGTTTTAGAGAAATGGCTGATTCTAGGTCAAGAGAAAGAAACATTAATATGAGCATGAAACAGCTTGTCATATAAGAAAGCCAAGAAGCTTTCTAAAAAAATTACAAAAAGGCTACTAGAGATGTGTCAGAAGAACTTAGACACCAACTTGTAAAGGCTTCTAGCTGATCAAAGATGGGATGATGTATTAATAAGGCTAACAACAACAATGGATGTAAACCTAACTATTTAAATCAGTGAGTTCATAATGATACCCTATCCTCCAAATTAATTCATCATCTTAGAGAATGCTAGGAACCCAACCTGTTATTTTGAAAACTGGTAAAGGATAAATATTTATCCTACCTTTCCAAAATAAACTGCACTTTTAGAAAACCAAACCTATCAGCCTTGATAGCTGGAAAGGAATAACTTGATCTGGGCAATGAGGCATTAATTGCTACTAGCATCACAAAGGAAGTTCATGTCTTCTATTGAGCGACATCCTACCACTGCTGTTGTCTTATAAAAATAAACAACCAAACAAAAACCTGAATCTGATCAAGCTTCTAGATACAACTACCAATTTATAGCATTGTAATCAACAAATATAGTTGCGGGGCTAAAAAAGAGGTCTATACATGTAAAATGACTAAGAAACAGATCAACCAATGGTAATGCATGGATCTTATTTGATCTTCATTCTTCAAACTATAGAAGACACATACTTGACATTTTTAAAACAATTAGAAATTTGAACAGAGATTGAATAATTTTATTTTTTTGGTCATATAATGGCATTCTATTTTTAAGAGTCCTTATCTCTTAGGCACTACATACTGAAATATTTACAACTGAAATATATGATATTTGAAACTTACTTCAGGATAATCTAGGAAAGAAGTGAATAAGGATATACATGAAAGAAGACTGGCCACAAGTTGAAAATTACTGAAGCCAGATAATGGATCAAAGGGACTCCATATACTCCTCTCTTTTATCTCCGAATATACTTGAAATTTTAAAAAGGTCTTAGTGGAGGGGTACCTGGGTGGTTCAGTCAGCTGAGCATCTGATTCTTGGTTTCAGCTCAGGTCATGGTTTCACAGTTCGTGAGATTGAGCCTGGCGTGCAGCTCTGTGTAGAGCCTGTTTGGGATTCTCTCTCTCTCTCTCTCTCTCTCTCTCTCTCTCTTTCTTTCTCTCTCTCTGCCGCTCACCCCTCATTGTCTCACTCTCTCACCCCCAAAATAAATAAACAAAAATAAAGTTTTTAGTCTGTTTATGAAAAACCCATCACTTGTGGTGAAAGAAAAGCTACTAGAGATGGATTATGTGCTGTTCTAATAAATACCTTCATGAAGACATAGATAATTATGATGTTGTTACATACCACAACTTCCTGCAGACTGTTTGGAAGACTGACTGTTGAAATGCCATGAAATGGTCGCTGGGAAAAGTCAATATTTTGCAAGGGACCCCCAACACTGTGACTTCGAGTCAAAGATACATTTCGCTTTGATAAACTATTAGGCACAGGTGAAATTTTCATGGTTTGGACTTCTCCGCTGGCCTTCTTTATTTCATCACTTAAAAAAAATGAAGAAATGCTGTGTTTGTGCTATAATACAATCTCAATTTGTACACCTAGAGTATTTTCTACAGTGTCCTCCGAGTCTACTGAATGTATCAGAGAAGAATCAGTACCACCTTATAAGATTAAATTTTCTTCAGGCATTTTTGTAAAAGTAGTCAGAAGAACGGGATGGAATGGACAACTCTGGTGATGGGTGGGAAGAAGAGGACAAAGGGTAGACAGTAGATATTGTTTTTAAAAGATTAAGTGCCCATACACAGTTGCTTTATTCAAACATTATTTCCTCTTTATTAAATAAAACCACCTAGAATTATACTGCATCCAACTAGGTATTACAGATTCATTGACAAGTTTTAACCTCTACCAGGCCAAGGTCTACCTAAGGGTAGAGAAGAAGAGATCTTAATTTTTTATTTTTAGTGCTTAGCATAATGCTCAGCATACTATAGCCTCTGAATAACTATATGATTCAATCAGTAGTTAAGAGGAAGCAGTTTATTTCACAGTAAAGAGAATATGTCTCTGGAAACTGGCAATGATTACACTAAAAGGGAAAATACGTTTTACTACTGAGAAGTTCATTCTGTAAAAGGACACTGTAAAACATTAAACACAGTTTCAAAAACCGTTTTCATCACATTTATTTATTAGATACTTAAACAATATACTGTAGGGGGCGCCTGGATGGCTCAGTTGGTTAAGCATCTGACTTAGCTCAGGTCATGATCTCACGGTTTGTGAGTTTGGGCCCCACGTTGGGCTCTGTGCTGACAGCCCAGAGCCTCGTTCGGATTCTATGTCTCCCCTTCTCTCTCTGCCCTTCCCATGCTCTCTCTCTCAATAATAAATTAAAAACAAAAAAAAAGTTAAAAACCACAATAACATATTGTAGTAAAAAGTTAAGATTAAATTTTTAAAATGCCAGAACTTAGGGGCACCTAGCTGGCTCAGTCAGTATAGTGTGCGACTCTTGATCTTGTGGTCATTATCATTAGTTCGAGCCCCACATGGGGTGTAGAGATCACTTAAATCAACAAATAAACAAAAACTTAAAAATAAATAAAATGCCAGAACTTAGCCTTTGAAGATGGAATTTTTACAAGGGTAGCTGACCGATAACGAAGAGTTCTTTGTACCCTAGAGTAGTACCTTGATTCAACTGCAGAGGCTGTCTCTTCAGTTATGGTCTGGCTCTGTTTGGGGAAATCCAGAAAGCTGATCAAGTCAGGTTCTGCTGTGGACACAGGTTTGTGCTCTGAAGGTTCACTGGCCAGTGGAATGCTGCCACTTTGTAAACTGTCGCCAGAGGTGCTTGGTTTCAGGAAAAAGCTACATATGGAGCAATCAAAAAAAAAAAAAAAAGTCTTTAAATAGCCTAGAATCCTCTAAATTTCATATCTAGAATCCCTTTATGGCAAAGGAATCACTGAGGAATTATACAATCCACAGAAGTACTGCCTGTTTCAAACACACACACAGCCCCCTGGCTCACATTCTCTCTTCCCCTTATTGTAAGCTTTTTAAATGAAAAAGAACTCAAAGTCATTATAGTTCAACGCAACATCCTTTCAGATTTGAGAACCATTAAAGAAAGCTATGAAGGAAGCAAAATATTTCATTGATTGAACTAAAAAAGAACTAGAGCAGCAATGGCATTTTAGCATGTATTAGCCTATAACTGTTTATAATATCCTCCCCCCATTAATATCTATTGTCTCTAGTCATTTCCTTTCCGCTTTATTCATTATTTTGTTTCTGTCTGATCTCTATCTTTCTCTTTCTGGGTGGGAATGGGGTGAGTGTTGGGCCTTGCAAGGGACATTAAGAGAACTTCCTGAGTTAATAGTAATGTTCTGTATTTGATAAAGGTTTGATTTGCATGAACGTATGCATTCAACTTTTTAAAAAGTTTTTAAAATTTTTATTTTTCAAAGAAAGAGAGAGAGAGTGAGTACACAAAAGAGGGAAAGAGAGAAGGGGCCACAGAGGATCCAAAGCAGGCTCTGTGCTGACAGCAGCAAGCCCAATGGGGGACTTGAATTCACAAATCAGGAGTTCATGACCTAAGCCAAAGTCAGATGTTCAACCGACTGAGCCACCCAGGTGCCCCTACATTCAATTTTCTTAAATTTATAGATTTTCTTAAATACAGCTTTATCTCAAAAGAAAAAACTGTAACAAACTTAATACTGAACTTTAGTTAATATGTATGCTGAAGTCTTTGGGGGAGAAGTATATTAATAATGTCTACACCTTCTTTCAAATGAATAAAAATAGAAGATAAATTGGTGAATGGATGAAGGGGTAGAGAGTTGATAAAGAAAGTACAATAAAATAGTAAAATAAATAAATAAATAAAATGGAGAGATGGATATTTGGGCGTCACTGTAAAAAAATCTTAAAATAAAATTTTTAATGTTTATTTTTGAGAGAGAGAGAGAGAGACAGAGTACAAGTGAGGGAGGGGCAGAGAGAGAGGGAGACACAGAATCCAAAACAGGTTCCAGGCTCTAAGCTGTCAGCACAGAGCCTGATGTGGGGCTCAAACTCACAAACTGTGAGATCATGACCTGAGCCAAAATCAGATGTTTAAGCAACTGAGCCACCCAGGTGCCCCTCCCCTGCAAAAAAAATCTTTTAACTTCAAGTTTGAATTTTCCACAATGACATGATGTCATTAAACTAATAATGACATATTATGTCATTATATTATGTCATTAATGTCATAAAATCAATAATGCTCCTTTATATTCGCTTAGAAAATATAAAATAAGGTGGCTAACACAATAGCTTAAGAAGCACAATTAACGCAACAAAAAAGCATAAGACTAGGGAGAATAACGGTATGAAAATGATACGAAGGATAATCTAAGAAAAATGGAAATATATATATATACTATGCTCAAAGATAAGAGAATAATACTAAAAATATCCATTTCCCCACATTAATCTACACAGCTAATGCCACAATCCCAGTGAAAACTCCAGTTGGACTATTTTTGGGGAGGAGGGAAAACTAAAGTTGCCCTAGGCAAAATAAATAAATAAATAAATAAATAATTAAAACTCTATGAGGGAGAGCTTCCCTTATCAATCAGACATGACACCAGCAGTATTGACAAAAAAGAACAGGGAACACAGAACCAGGGTGAGGTGTGCATGGAACTTGGTCTATGATAAAGGTGATGCTGCATTATCAATGAAGAAAGGGTGGAAAACCAGCTCGTTACATGGAGAGAAAGAAAGCTGTATCCCTACCATCATACACAAACACTAAGGTGGCCTCCAGATGGATTAAAGACCTAAATATCAGAGGTAAAATATACAGCTAACAAAAGAAACTTTCAGAGAAAATCTTCATGTCCTACAGATGGCAAACAACTTTTAAAACAAGGCTTCAACATAACACCCTCGAGGTCTATCCATGTTGCTACACATGGCCAGATTTCATTGTTTCTCATTGCCATGTAGTATTCCATGGTATAGATAAACCACATCTTCTTGATCCATTCATCTGTTGAGCGAAATAAGTCAGGCAGAGAAGGACAAATATCATATGTTTGCACGTATAGGAGGATTAGGAGGAACTTGACGGAGGAACAAGGGGGAGATGAAGGGCGGAAATGGTGGGGGAAAGGGAGAGAGGCAAACCATGAGAGACTCTTGAATGCTGACAAAAACTGAGGACTGATGGATGGGGGGGGAGGGGGGATGGGCATGGAGGAGGACACTTGTGGGGATGAGCACTGGGTGTTATGTGGAAACTAATTTGACAATAAACTATTTGTAAAAAAAAAAATTTTTTAATGCTGAAACATAAAAAAACAAAAAAACAAACAAACAAGGCTTCAAAAGCACAAATCATAAGGTGGAAACATTAAGGATATCAAAACATACTATTTTAAGGAATTAATATCAAGAATATTCAAGACAGACATCAACAAGAAAAAGAAAGCTAATATAAATATGGACAGGGTATAAACAATCAATTCATAGAAAATGCTGGAGGGGTGTCTGGGTGGCTCAGTTGGTTAAGCATCCGATTCTTGATCTCAGCTCAGGTCATGATCTCATATTGTGAGATCGAGCCCCGTGTTGGGCTATGTACTGACAGCAGGGAGACTTCTTGCAATTCTCTCTTCTCCTGTCTCCCCCTGTCTCTCTGACCACCCCCTACTTTCTTTCAAAATAAATAAATAAACTTAAAAAAAAAAAGAAAATTCTGGAATTAACAAGTATATGAAGAGATAAACTCATTAATATTCAGAAAAATTGAAACAAAAACAAGACACCACTTTATACTCATTAGAATACAAAGATCAGAAAAAATGATAATACCAAATGCTGGTAAGGATATACAGAAATGAGAATTCTTAGACACTAGTAGTGGGAGTGTTGTCATGTTTGTAAGCAATCTTCCACTGTTTATTGAAATCATGCATGAAGATGACCTAATGACTTCACTCCTAAGACTATTATTCTTCACAGATTCCGAGACAGACATATTTTACAGTGCACTGCATCACTGCGGTGATATTTATACTAACACAATACTGGAAGCAACTGAAGCAACAACAGGATATTGGATGAATAAAATGAAGTATTAACTTCCTACAGGAGAAAAAGGAATAAATTAGGCATACATATAGCAACTCAGACTTTAAGCTGAGTAATAAAAATAGATATGTTCAACCTTATTCTAATTACACAACTTAAAAATGCATAATTGTTAAAAACAATGTATTTCATGAGGAGATATATTCAAAAAGACATCACACACCGTAGAGTCAATGTCTTTGTTGGATAAAGGAATGAGAATGGGAATGGCAGGGGCTGGGGGGGTAGAACTAACAACAGAGGGCCCTTGCACAAACCAATGATGATAGTGCATCAGGAATTAGAATACGATTTCACTCAGCTCCACACCTGAAGCTAAAAGGAAAAATTAATCTAAGAAGAAATACCTGCACGACTGGAGATTTTTAAAAAAACTGTTATAGGTAGAAAATAATGTGTTTTCATTGGTTCCATAAAACAAATAGAACCAACTCGCAATTACTTAATTACTAGATCAGCTAGTCTTTCTATTGGCTAGAATTTGGCCATCACACCATACAGAGCACTACCATAAAGAGGCAAAAAGTTAAGAGTCAAAAAAACCCCACCCCCACACCTTTAGTTTTTCTTCTAGAAGATGTAAGATCACTGAGACAGTTTAAAAGAATGATAAATATTAAAGTTCTGAATTACCTATAAAGCTCAGCTCTAAGAATTAACCACTACTGATAATCATATGTTAAATAAAATGGGAAAGTAGTCTCCTGTAGTACTAGTATTTTCTACTCAAACACTGAAAGTGAAGGAGAGACAGGAAAGGGACACCTGGAGTGAACCATGTCTATTTATTTCACTTTTCTCCCAGGAGTCATGCCTTCTGCGAGGACACTCACCTCTTTAGGGAGCTTTGTCAATACTAACCTTGCAGTGCCTCTCAAGTCTTTAAATTCTATATTGAGGAGAGGCAAGAAGTTGCTTTTACAGAATGGACAGGTTGTATTCAAATTTGAATCATCTGCCGTCCATCCAGCCATAATTTCTTCATCATAAACTAAAGCTCCACAAGATCTGCACTGTGAACAACTTGACATCAAAACCTAAGAGCAGAAAAGTGCGGACACTGAGAACTCCACAGTGAAAAGTCATCTTAATAGACCATTCTCTGGAGACATGGAATTTTATTTATTTTGCTGATCAAATTTGGAACGAATAGTTCAATCACTTTATAGATAAAGCTACCCGTTTATGGCCTTACTTACATAAGATATGAAGCAAATTCAACAAAATTGTTTACTTTTCTGCCCACAATGGCATCAAAGAATTCTGTCAAATACCATTCTGAAATAAAAATATGTACTGCCACTTTATCACGTGCAGAAGGAAGAACTTTTACCTCCATTGCACAATTCTGATAGATGCTAGACATGCTGGTGTTTTGAGAAGAACCATGGTCTGATTTTTCAAAGTCCTGCCCTTTTACGCTTCTTGGAAATGGAGGTTCACCTGGAGAGAAGTAAATATCATAACATATTATGTAGGAGAATGCCCTTATTCTTTGGAAATGCATACTAAATTATTTAAGGGGGAGTATGATGAAGTCTACCATTTATTTTCAAATGGTTCAGTATAAAAGTTTCTAGATATATATAAGATTAACAACAGTTAAATCTAGGTGGAAAATATATATGTGATTGTTCACTATATGATTCAACTATTCGGGACATTTGAAATTTTTCATAACAGAATGTTGGGGAAAAAAACCAATTAAAATTAAAAGAATAACATAGTACTAAGAAATGTCAGTGACATAGCCCAGGATTCTCTACCTCTGGTATACATCTGATTTACACAGAGCACTAGTTAAAAATACGTACTCCTAAGGCCCCCATCCCACAGATACAGTCTCAAAAGCTTTAGCCTAGGGCTTGGACGTTTGTATATATCTTTAAAGTAATCTTCCATGTGATTCTGACACACAACGAACTTTGAGAACTAATGATATAATCTGCAAACACAACTAAAAATAAACTTTGTAGGTGACTATACTACTTAGAGATCATATAAAATAAGTGATAGTATGATGTGGCTATATAAAAAGTCTGTGCATCTCAACAAATGGGGCTTGTTGTGCATGCCGTAGGGGGAGGAAAAGGTACGCGCATATAAACTGTAGCAGACAGCAATCCTTTCCATACCTGTTGAGTAATGCAGCTTTCCTACATCTCCACTGCTGCTGCTACTGCCAAGGCTTGTATTGCTCTGGGTAAGTTCACTGGGAACCAGCCCTGAGATACTCATGTTCGGTGACATATTCTCCCCCAAAATATGGTCTTCAAGGCCAGCTGGGAAGCTGTAATCTCTGTTAGTTTCCTCCTTTAATTGAAAAGATTAAAACCTCACATACATAAATAATACCTTCTTCAATAAGAATATATTCATTCCACCCTTTACAGAATTAAACTTCTCTATAATTCTTAAGTAAATTATCATTCCCCTATTTTTCAAAACCATGAACTCTTCTCAGTATTATTTGCAATTTCCTTTCCACATTCTAAGACATTCAAGCAATAACCTACAACACTTTAAGATTTTGTGGTGCCCCTGGCGTATGTCGAGGTATCTCTCAATAATCAATTTTATAAAATGAAAGAACTCCAGGAGCCCATGGTCTCCAATGGAATCGGGCACCCTAACACAAGTAAGAGCTTTAAAGTCAGTCACCAGACTGTGGCTCTGACTCCCCATCATATATTAGGTATGTGACCTTGCAGAAATTATTTAACTACTCCAACTTTTAATTATATCATCTGAAAAATATGGATAAGAGGATATATGGATAAAATATATCATCCTTTAAAATATGGTTGTTGTGAGAATTTCAGCTGCCAGTATGATTTGCAGACAACCATCAATATTAGAGGCATAAAATATGAATAAAGTTCCAAACACTGTAGTTCTGAATTCCTACAAGTGACTGCTGACACTTTAGATAACCATTTCAATAAGCAGTTTCCTTTTTGATTTTTTTAAATGTTTATTTATTTTGAGAGAGAGAATAAGTGAGCAGGGAAGAGGCAGAGAGAGAGGGAGAGAAAGAATTCCAAGCAGTCTCAGAGCTGTCAGCAGAGCCGGAGGCAGGGCTCCATCTCACAAATCATGAGATACTGACCTGAGTGGAAATCAAGAGTCAGACACGTAACCAAATAAGCCACCCGGGCTTATCTTTTATTTTTGCTTTAAAGAAGAATTGTTTCTTGTTATGAAACCATGTTAAATGGTACAAAACTTAAACAGACATGCAGAACAGGAAATAAAAGCACTTAATACTGGGGCACACGGGTGGCTCAGTCAGTTAAATGTCTGACCCTTGATTTTTCCTCAGATCGTGACCTCATGGTTGTGAGATGGAGCCCGGCTTGAGATTCTTATTATTTTCGTCCCCTCTCTCTCTCCCTCTTTCCTCTGCACTCCCAATCTCTCTCTCTCTCAAAAAAAAAAAAAAAAAAATTTATATTACCAACACCCACACAGTACAATCAAAATCTTGATGTATGCCCTTCTAGTCATTTTATATAATGTATATAATACATTTTTACACAACAGGATATTGTTTACCTTATTCTCATGTATTTTAATGTCATTAAATCCTCTACATTATATAAACCCCTGCAACCTAATCCAGTTTACTGATGTACTGTTATGCATTTAGTAAATCTCTATTGCTTAAACATTCAGAAAGCTTTTAAATTTTCTGTAAGTTACACTGATGAATTCTTTTGAGTTATTTTTACACATAATTATTTCCTTAGAATAAATCCTAGATGAAAGTTATAAAACTTTTTTTATGAACTTTGTATTCATTCCTTCATTTGAAAATATTTACTAGGTATAACACCTATTTGCCTTTGTCAGGCTCTTAGTACCAGGGCCATAGCAATAAAAAGAAAAGAAAGATTAAGATCTGTGACCACCTAGAATTTACAGTCCTACATTCCAAGTCCAAATTACTCTGTAGAAAGGTTTTATTAACACTGTTAAATAAAATTACAAAACTAAAATGGCTCACTTGGTTAGTTTATTTTAACATAAAGTGAGGTTAAGACACTTGTGAAACTAGCTTATTTGGTTTTTCCTTCACTGACCTTGTAAGCTCTTTAAAATGCAACAAAATGCAACTATGTCTTCTAGTACTCAGTACTGTACTTTTGATTCAGTTAATAGTTTGCCTATAACGTTTTTTTTCAAATAGTATATAAATCATATTTGTCTGATTTCATTTCCTACGTCCCTAACTTCCTATTTAGAACTTTAGCAATCTGAAATTGATTATATTATCTTGAAAATGCATGTTTTAAGTCTCCATGATTTTTCACATTATTCTCTCAGATAAACCTTGGGCCAACCTTATCACTGTGACTAACCCAAAATTTCAAATCCATCCATCAAAATCCAACTTAGATATCACCTGCTTTGCTCTTTTTGGACAGCCCCCTACTGGTACCTCTTCTAAGATACTGCTTCCTTCTTTGCTACTACGGTGGTTTAAAAGCATGGACTTTAAGCCTCTCTCCCAGAGTTCATATTCTAGCTCTGCCTCTCACTAACTGTGTGGACCTGGAAAAATTAATTAACCTCTCTGAATTTCAGATTACCTCATCTATAAAACATGGATGACAACAGTACCGATGCGTGGGGGTGCTATGAAAATTTTTATCAAAATAGATATATAGCTTATGAGAGTACCTGTGACATAGTGGTGAACACTTATAAATGTTTGTCTTTCCCACTAAAGTGCCTAAGTACAATATAATTCTTTGAATACAAAGGTGAAATTTTAATTAAATTTTTTTTCTATGTTAAACAAGCAAAATTTCCCCACTTCTATTTCATAAAAAGGTCTAATGACTCTCTTTACAATAATTTTTAAAGAATTAGCAGTTTTTGTGATCCAGTATGAGATCTTTGGGCTAAGTTGCAGAGTGATTGCATATATATTTCAGAGCTAACATAGATAAAAGTTATTTAAAAACCAGCCCTCAATAAATATAAAAGAATTGAGATCAAACCATGCACACTTTCAGATAACAATGCTATGAAACTTGAAATCAATCACAGGAAGAAGTCTGGAAAACCTCGAAAAACATGGAGGTTAAAGAATACCCTACACTAAAGAATCAATGAGCCAATCAGGCAATTAGAGAAGAAATTTAAAAATATATAGAAAGAAATGAAAATGAAATACAACAATCCAAACTCTATGGGATGCGGCAAAGGTAGTCCTAAGAGGAAAGTACATTGCACTCCAGGCCTATTTCAAGAAATTAGAAAAAGCACAAGTACAAAATCTAACAGCACACCTAAAGGAACTAAAAGGAGAGCAACAAGAGCACCCAAACCCAGTAGGAGAAGAGAAATAATAAAAATCAGGGCAGAAATAAACAATATAGAAACCAAAAAAACAGCTGAACAGATCAATGAAACTAAGAGTTGGTTTTTAGAAAAAATAAAACTTATAGACCTCTAGCCAGGCTTCTCGAAAAGAAGAGAGAGAGCACTCAAATACACAAAATCATGAATGAAAATGGACTTATTGCAACCAACCCCTCAGAAATACAAGCAATTATCAGGGAATATTATGAAAAATTATATGCCAACAAATTGGACAACTTAGAAGAAATGGACAAATTCCTAAACACACACTACCAAAATTCACACTAGAAGAGATAGAAAATCTGAACAGACTCATAACTAGTGAAGAAATGGAATCAGTTATCAAAAATCTCCCAACAAATAAGAGCTCTGGGCCAGATGGCTTCCCTGGGGAATTCTACCAGACATTTAAAGCAGAATTAATACCCATTCTTCTCAAGCTATTCTAAAAAATAGAAATCGAAGGAAAACTTCTGGACTCATTTTACGAAGCCAGCATCACTTTGATTCCCAAGCCAGACAGATAGCCAGCAAAAAAAGAGAACTACAGGCCAATATCCTTGATGAATACGGATGCAAAAATCCTCAATAAGATCCTTGCAAATCGAATTCAATAGCACATAAAAAGAATTATCCACCATGATCAAGTGGCATTCATTCCTGGGTTATAGGGCTGGTTCAAAATTTGCCAATCAATCAATGTGATACATCACATTAACAAAAGAAAAGATAAAAACCATATAATCCTGTGGCAGAAAAAGCATTTGACAAAATACAGCAGCGCTTCTTAATAAAGACCCCTCGAGATAGTCGGGATAGAAGGAACTTACTTAAACATCATAAAAGCCATCTATGAGAAGCCCTCAGCTAACATCATTCTCAATGGGGAAAAACTGACAGCTTTCCCCCTGAAATCAGGAACACGACAGGGATGTCCACTCTCACCACTGTTGTTTAACATAGTGCTGTAAATCCCAGCATCAACAAACAACAAAACGAAATAAAAGGCATCAGAATTGGCAAAGAAGAAGTCAAACTTTCACTTTTCGCAGATGACATGATATTTGACATAGAAAACATGACAGACTCCACCAGAAGCCTACTAGAACTGATCCACGAATTCAGCAAAGTTGCAGGGTACAAAAATCAGTTACATTTTTATACACCAACAATGAAGCAATAGAAAGAGAAATCAAGAAACTGATCCCATTCACAACTGCACAAATAACAACAAATTATCTAGGAATAAACCTAACCAAAGATATAAGGGATCTGTATGTTGAAAACTATAGAAAACTTATGAAGGAAACTGAAGAAGACACAAAGAAATGGAAAAACATTCCATGCTCATGGATTGGAAGAAAAAATATTGTTAAAACGTCATTACTGCCCAAAGCAATCTACACATTCAATGCAATCCCAATCAAAATTGCACCAGCATTCTTCTCAAAACTAGAACAAACTATCCTAAAATTTGTATGGAACCAAAAAAGACCCCGAAAAGCCAAAGTAATATTGAAGAAGAAAACCAAAACGGGAGGTATCACCATCCCAGACTTTAGCCTCTACTACAAAGCTGTCATCATCAAGACAGTATGGTAGTGGCAAAAAAACAGACACATAGACCAATGGAATAGAATAGAGAACTCAGACTTGGACCCACAAATGTATGGCCAACTAATCTTTGACAAAGCAGGAAAGAGTATCCAATGGAAAAAAGACAGCCTCTTTAACAGATGGTGTTGGGAGAACTGGACAGCAACATGCAGAAGAATGAAACTAGATCATTTTCTCATACCATACACAAAAATAAACTCAAATGGATAAAGGACCTGAATGTGAGACAGGAAACCATCAAAACCCTAGAGGAGAAAGCAGGAAACAACCTCCTTGACCTCCATCGCAGCCATTTCTTACTTGACACATCCCCAAAAGCAAGGGAGTCAAGAGCAAAAATGAACTCTTGGGACCTCATCAAACTTAAAAGCTTCTGCACAGCAAAGGAAACAATTCATACAACTCATAGGCAACTGATGGAATGGGAAAAGATAGTTGCAAATGACATATCAGATAAACGGCTAGTATCCAAAATCTATAAGGAACTCACCAAACTCCACACCCGAAAAACAAACAATCCAGCGAAGAAATGGGCAGAAGATATGAACAAACACTTCTCCAAAGAGACATCCAGATGGCCAACAGACACATGAAACGATGCTCAGCATCCCTCCTCATCAGGGAAATACAAATCAAAACCACACTGAGATACCACCTCACGCGGGTCAGAGTGGCTAAAATGAACAAGTCAGGTGAGCATAGATGCTGGCGAGGATGTGGAGAAACGGGCACCCTCCCACACTGCTGGTGGGAATGTAAACTGGTGCAGTTGCTCTGGAAAACAGTGTGGAGGTTCCTCAAAAAATTAACAATAGAACTCCCCTATGACCCAGCAATAGCACTGCTAGGAATTTACCCAAGGGATACAGGAGTGCTGATGCATAGGAGCACATGTACCCCAATGTTCATAGTGGCACTTTCCACAATAGACAAATCATGGAAAGAGCCTAAGTGTCCATCAACTGATGAATGGATCAAGAAGATGTGGTTTATCTATACAATGGAATACTACATGGCAATGAGAAAGAATGACATCTGGCCATGTGTAGCAGCATGCATGGAACTTGAGTGTGTTATGCTGAGCGAAATAAGTCAGGCAGAGGACAGATACCATATGTTTGAATGTATAGGTGGATTAGGAGGAACTTAACAGAGGACCGTGGGGGAGTAGAAGGGGAAAAATAGTTGGGGAGAGGGAAGGAGGCAAACCATGAGAGACTCTTGAATGCTGAGAACAAACTGAGGACTGATGGGGGTGGGGGAGAGCAGAAGTGGGGTGATGGGCATGGAAGAGGGCACTTGTGGAGATAAGCACTGAGTGTTATACGGAAACCAATTTGTCAATAAACTATTATGAAAAAGTTATTTAAGAGTGAAGTGCTATGCAAATATCATAGAGCATTATTAAGTATTAATCATTAGTGCTTCCAAAGAAATAAATTTAATGTGTTAGTTCAGACTGATCTATGGGATTATAAAGTAGTCCTGACAGTCTATTTCTTTTTTATTAATCACCTTACATTTATATTCAAATCATTTCAAAAAAGAAACAACATATGCATCAAGTTTTAAAAACCAAAGTTGCCAGCAATCTCTACATAATAATTTATATATAAAAACATATGAGAAACATTCCATTATCAGGTAGACTACACACATAAAAAACTCTTACCTCATCATCCGAATAGCTATAGGCGGATGCAACAGCTACCCACATCTTACTGGCTACCGTAGCTGCTTGTTTCATACCAGACTTCAGGACATCTATCTTGGGTCCTGAGAGTATATTATCTAGCTTTAGCCCTGACAAAGAATTTACCACAGAACCCAACGAGCCATGCGGCGAGGAGCGCACCAGTGCTGATAAAGAAGTTGAACGTTCTTTATGAGCACGAGAGGGAGTCTGCTGCTTGAAACGCCCAGTGAAAGTTTTAGACCTAGATTCTGTGGGAGAGCTCTTTTCCCTTTCAGGAACATCCTGTGCTGGTGGACCATGCTCTAATGGCAGGCTCGATCTCCTCTCCAGAGGGTGCATAAATGCAGTGGTGGTGCCAGACTCTCTGTTTCCGTCTCCGTGTAATTCCATACTAGAAGACTTGCTACCCAAAGGACTCTTTAGGTTCATATAGCTTTCGATTTCATCAGCCAGATTACGTGCAATAACTGGAGAAGTCACCTTATCTTCAGAATCTTGAGATTTTAGTCCGGTACATTCAGTGGCCAAAAGAGACAAAGGATCTAGTCCAGTTTCAACATCCTCCCTCTCAACAGCTTTAGCAACACCATATAAACTACTCCTCTTGTTTATCATATCTTTGGATCCTATGGTCAAGTCCTGAGGCTGATTACTGTCATTCTGTGGACTGTCACATGCATCCTTTTTCATAGGAGTTTTTGCTGCACTGTCATCAATCACAGGTTCCGGGAGCTCTTGGCTTTCCTCAAGCATCTCTAACACCGAAGAAGATCTGTGCTCGGAATCCCAAGCGCTTTCAGACACACGAGTCCTAGTATCAATGAAATGACAACTGTTAGGAGTCTCAAAGCTGTGGGCGCTCGCAACATGGAATGGAGCAGTCTTAGGACAGGCCAGTGCTGCTGTGAGAATCTTGGCATCTGCTCCCATCATAATAGCGGCTTCGCTTGAGTTCAGATCCAAACTGCTCTTCTTAAGCAACATTCCCGCTCGACTTTCCGAACTGAAACTACAGCTCCTCTCTGGGAAATGCTTTTGTCTTTTATCTCCTCTATCACCGTTCTTCTTGAGAGCAGTAACTTCACCAAAGACTGCATCTTCAACTGGATCTTGAGTAGAAAATGGCACATTTGATGTACTACCTAAAAGGGAAGGGATAATAATAAAAATGAAACTCTAGTTTCTGATATAACTTTTATAAAAGTGTTTGTTCTGGTTTTTAAAAAGCGACAGAGTAAGATTCAGAAAGTTTAGAAGGTACAGGGGCGCCTGGGTGGCTTAGTCGGTTAAGCGTCTGACTTTTGCTTAGGTCAAGATCTCGCGGTTCGTGGTTCGAGCCCCGCGTCGGGCTCTGTGCTGACTGCCAGCTCAGAGCCTGGAGCCTGTTTCAGTCTATGACTCCCTCTCTCTCTGACCCTCCCCTGCTCACACTGTCTCTCTCTCTCTCCTAGAAATAAATAAAAACATTAAAAAAAAAAATTAAAAAAAAAAAAAAAGAAGGTACAAAGAAAGTATACAACAACAACAATAAAAACACCTCCATTCAACCTGCCTCCCAGAAATAACACTGTAATGTATAATCTGCCTTTTATCCTCTATGCATACATATACACATTTAAAAATCACGCAATATATGCTGTGTATACCTGATTGTTCACTAAAACTTATCACATTTATTGATAAGTATAGACCTATAAATATATCTTACATTTTAAGAATTCTACATTCAATTTAAGAAATATATTCTGGGGCACCTGGGTGGCTCAGTTGGTTAAGCATCCCACTGTTGATTTTGGCTCAGGTCATGATCTCATGGTTCATGGGTTTGAGCCTACATCAGGCTCCATACTGACAGTTCAAAGCCTGCTTGGAATACTCTCTCTCGCTGCCCCTTCCCCACTTGTGCTCTCTTCTCTCTCTCAAAATAAATAAGTTAAAACAAAACAAAACAAAACAGGGATACCTGGGTGGCTCACTCCGTTAAGCATCCAACTCTGGCTCAGTTCATGATCTTGTGATCCGTGAGTTCAAGCCCATGTCAGGCTCTGTGATGACCTCTCAGAGCCTGGAGCCTGCTCTCTCTCTCTCTCTCTCTCACTCTCTCTCTCTGCCCCTCCCCTACTCATGTTCTCGCTCTCTCTCACTCTCTCAAAAGTAAACATTAAAAAAATATACAAAAACAAAAAAACCCCAAATACTTAATCACAAATAAGTGGCTCAAGATACCTATAAACCTGGCCAAATTAAAACCCACTGTTATTTTTGTGTAGTACAGCATAGTGCTATGAATCTTTTTCTTCCATTGCCACACAACAACCCCCTGGAACTCAGTCCCATTTCTGCCTCTTTGTTCTTACTGAGTATAGGAGGCCCTGCAGTCCTCTCTCATTATCTACCATGAGAAAGAGGGACCAAACTGAGAATCCCTCCTTTTAAATACTAAACATTCTAAACAACAACTTCTTGTTTTTTAGCCAATTTGTAGGATTCAAACTTACTCCTGGCTCTTGACCATATTCATCACAATGAAGTCATCCATTTAATGTCATTAAAGACTCATGTATGTCTTTAGAAGTATATTTTAAATATGTATCAATCAATATGTCAAGACTCACCAGTGCTGCTTCTCCTGCCACTGAGATCCAACATACCAGACGGAACTCTCACAATACTGCTGCCCCATGCGGGAGGCTCGGTAGGACTCTGTGGCTCTGCACTAGGCTGGCAATGTTTTGCCACAACAGCAGAGACATCACACACCTCTGGGAAAAATATTTGGATGTTATTCCTACTTTTACTAACACTGTACATAAAGCATATGTTGATTTTTATAATATTTTATTTTTTTATATTTCTTCTCCAAGTGGGAGTGAATGTGACTACTTTATTACTAATTTGTTGTGTCTGATTTACTTTATACCATAAATACTGCCAGCGTTGACTAAAATAAATGCTTTATTTTAGTTTCAATGATGCTAACTTGAGCATTCTGTGAATAAATTAAGACTTTGGCCTTCAGTTACACTCCTACCACATGTAAAATAGGAAAGGGGCTTGCTTCTGCATAACTCTGGAGTATAAAATAAATGACATCATTAAAGGAAAGTATACTTTTATGTAAGAGAATAAGAAGAACATTTTATTACCAGGAAGCCAGAAAATTCCTCCACATTTCCATAAAATGATTACTACAAATCATATCAATTCAATGAGTCCCATTACAACAAACAAACAATGAAAACCACACACACTATATTTAACCTTCCAATGAAAAATACCTACTTGAATACCTGAAGCACTTTTAGTGAAATGGCATTTTAAAACAAAACAGGCATTCAACACAAGTTTGAGGACTTCAAATCAGTCTTGGTTCTATCACAAAATAGCTAGTTAACTTTGGCACATCAATATCTCAATGGATCACAGTTTCCTACAAAATTGAGGGCTGACCTACAGTCTCTAAAAGATCTCTTAAATTCTAAAACTCAGGAACTACTCGTTCTATCCATACATAACATTATATGGTATCTTATAAGCCCAGACCTTACATTTCTTTCTAGAAATTGTCATCAAAATTATCAAAGATGACTGAATTGGGACAGGGTCACCTGGCTGGGTCAGCTGGTAGAGCATGTGACTATTCATTTCGGGATTATGAGTTTGAGCCCTACATTGGGTGTAAAGATTACTAACGAAATCTTAACTTAAAAAAAAAAAAAAAAACTACAGTATTTATCTAAATAAAGCTAGTAAATATTAGTACTCAACCTTCTGTTTGCACTTTTGCTTTAGTTATCAATTCTCTTGCTACTTGTTCTTCAGGCATATGAATTTCTGCGTCATCCTTTATAAGTTCATCCTTAGACCCATAGCCTTGGTCAGACTGACCACCTGTTAAAAAGAAAGCAGGCTCACATGTAAATGTTTTCATATACTCATAGTCCAGCTACAAAATGTCAAAAGAATATTCCATTGATTTACACAATTAAACTTACAGAAAAGGAAGACAAGAAAGCTCACAAAGCACACAGAACATTTTAAACAAATGATAAGAAGCAAAGAAAAGTAAAAACAAGTACATCAAAGACTAAAAAATTTGGAAGCAATGAAACTTAGTTTCCTCATCTGTAAATTAACAGATTTGGCCAAGATGTTTCAAAAAGTTTCTGTTGGAGGATGTCTACAGAATGCTATGTTTTGTGTAAGAAAGAAGAAGAAATAAAACAAACATATGCCTGCTTACTTTTGTAAAAAGAAATGCAGAAATAATAAACCAGAAAACAATAAAACTGGTTAATGACAAGGTGAGGGGGAAACAGGCTGGAAGGGATAGAGAAGAAACTTCTCTAATATGACTTACTGTACTGTTTTTATTTTTGGAAATGCATCAACTTCTACAAATTCAAAAATTTAAATCAACAACGCTGGGAGGAGCATACTAACTAAAACTGAATGCAAACAGGAACAAATGAGACCAACTGATTTCACATGAATCACACTGAAAGGATGGGGAACAGGAGGGAGGAAGACAGGCCTGATTCAGGAAACTTCTGAACACACAATTTTGAGTATATTCTCTAAGTCATGGGGGTAACAGACAAATCCTGAACTCCTTAGAAAGTCTGTTTCTCACAGAGTAATAAATGTAGCAATTCTGAAATTATTTTTATGTGTCCTGCAGGACTGAGCAAATGAGTAACCATAATGATGGTTATTGGCAGCCATGATACTTACTGTCAAAGAAAAGAGATTTTTAAAAAATAAAATGAAGGAAGGCAAAGAAAACCTTGTGGGGTTGATTTAAAAATGGAAGTATTTCAGGGCACTTGGGTGGCTCATTTGGTTAAGCATCTGACTTCAACTCAGGTTATGATCTCACGGATCATGAGTTCAAGCCCTGCATCAGGTTCTGTGCTAGCGGCTCAGAGCCTGGAGCCTGCTTCAGATTCTGTGTCTCCCTCTCTCTCTGCCCCTCCCCTACTCATGTTTTCTCTCTTTCTCTCTCTCTCAAAAGTAAACATTAAAAAACTTTTTAAAAAGTAAATGGAAGTATTTCTAAAACATATATATTTTCTTTTATACATATATGTATAATTTTTATATATTATATATTTTATATATTATATATAAATTTATATATAATATATATATTACATATATAAATATGTATATATTTTTTATATATACATATTTCCTAGCTCTGATGAAAAAGTCTAGAAGCAGTAATACCCTGTAGCAGTAAGCATACCTAGAGTTCAGATATTGACTTCTAGAATCTATTGCCCATTGAAAGGAATCTGGGTCCTTGAAGAAATGGCTGATTTCAAATCTGAGGCAGGAAAGCTACAAGAATGAGCCAGAAACATTTTGTTGTGTAAGAAAGGAAGTGTTCAAGAACACGAAGGAGGGTATGTCTGAGTAAAATGATTAAACCAGAGGACATGCACTAGAAGACCATCTTATAAATGTGGAGTGAAGATAGCACTGGTAAAATCACCTACTTGATAACCATCATAGTAAAGACTGGTTCAAGAATCACCAATGTATGCTAAATTCATAAGAAAAAGTGTGATAAGGAAGAAGGCATTACATACTCTCAGAGTCTCTTCACAGGTAGCTTATTATCCACATGGGCAATAATAATAACTAAGAGAAACCAAATGTTAAGACCAAGTGATCAAAATCAGTATCAGCAATGAGAGGTAGACAGATATTGTGTGCCTCTGAGATATGATAATCTAAGGATACAACATCACTTTTGTAGTAGAGCCATAGATGTAAAACCCAATCTAATCACAAGGAAACATGGGACCAACTCAAACCAAGGAGCATTCCACAAAATAACCGAACTGAATTCTTCCAAAAGGTCAGGGTCGTGAAAGACGAAGATGAAAAGGTAAAGGAAAAGGGTAAGGAACTGTGCCAGGTTAAAGGAGACTAAAAGGGGGAACTAGAATGCCACAGAGGATACAGCAATTGACAAAACTGGAATGTCAACTACCAATTCAAGTAGTATGTCAATATTTTCCTAAGTTTGGTAGCTATCCTATGGTTTTATCAGAGAAAAATACCATCAAAGTATTAAAAGGTGAAAGGGCAAGATGTATGCAACCTGCTGTCACATGACAGGAAAACAATGTGCATATGTGCACAAAAAGAAAATGATAAAGCAGATACGGCAAACTAGAAGTGAGTGAATCTAAATATAATCAGGTGTTCTCTGTACTGTACTTGCAACACTTCTGTAAGTATGAAATAATTTCAAAGTAAAGCTTTAAATAATAAAGCCAGATAGCCTGGCTTTAAAGTTCTATCATTTAAAACTGAGACAAAGACTGAAGTCTAATGTAAAACTACACAACTGGGACTCAGCCCCTAGAGAGTCACTGTAAAGTGTGTCAACGAGGCATGAAACAAAAAATACACAGGTGACCCTTGAACAACACAGGGGTTAGAGGCGCTGGCCCTCCCATCCCACACAATCAAAAATCCACATATAACTTTTGACACCCCAAAAACTCAACTAACAGCCTATTGACTGGCAGCCTTACCAATAACATAAACAGTCAGATAACACACGTTATATGTCGTATGTATATATAATAAAGTAAGCTAGAGATAAGAAACTTTTATTAAGGAGGCATGTGGTTGGCTCAGTCAGAAGAGCATGAGACTCTTGATTTCAGGGTCGTGAGCTTGAGCTCCATGGTGGGGATTACTTAGATTACTTAAATCTAAAAAACTGTTATTAAGAAAATCAGAAAGTACTATGACAGTGTTATATGGTAACCCATGATAGCTACCATGTGGTGAACACAGCATAAGGTATAGATAAGTTGAATTGTTACATTGTACACCTGAAACTAATGTAACATCATGTATCAACTACATCCAAATTTTTAAAAAAATTAAATAAAAAAAGGAAAAAAAGAAAATCATAAGGAAGAGAAAATACATACACAGTACTGTATCTATTGAAATAAAATTGACATGTAAGTAGACCCGTGCAGTTCAAAGCCATGTTGTTTAGGTGTTAACTGTAGTGCCTTCCACTTTTTACCACGTATTACACTGCCACTCCAACTTTGGGTTTGCAATTTAACAAAAGAACAAAACTTCCTTAAATATCCCCAGTTAAAATGACTAACCTGTCAATTTCTTATTGGCCCCCTCAGAAAGCATTATGGTACCACGACATGGGAACTAAGAAAACTGATTCAACCAAGATATGTGTCCCAACAAGCTAAGTGACTCCATATCAGGTACCAAGTGCAAAGATTGTACAAGATCATCTTTAATAAGAGAGTAACTTTAGATTCTGGTTTGGAAGTCTCCAAAAATACCACACGACATCACCAAAAACTCTATAAAGACACATTAATCACCACAAATTCAGCAAACAGGGCTTCAGCATTCTGAAAGGCAACTGAAAAGATACATAAGGAAAAGGGATCTGAAGTTTCTTCCCAACTATTAGAATCTTTTTGCCAATTACCCAGAATTACTAGGAGATTGTTTTTTTCCATTAAAGGGGATCATTTTAGAAGAAAAAGAAGAGTATTTATCTATTACTATTTTTAAAATTATAATTATTCCTGGTGAAATGGTTTCACATCACAAAATTTTCTTGATTTTTTTCATAAATGAAATCCATTCATTCTAGAAGTTTTAGGGAAAAAATACAGAAGAAATAAAAAGGTAGCTTTATAAACAGGATTATAACTTATAGCTCTATGCTGACTTCTAATTATTTATACATGGTTCTGTGCTTATGTAAGAGTAATTTTTAGTGCAAGAATTTAGCAGATCAGTTTTAGCAAGCAAAAACCATCTCAACAGCTATAACACTGAAATACTTAATTCCCATAAACTATTGGATACAATGGTGCTACACACAAACCTCAAAATAAGCAAGGCACAGTACATTTTCAAATAAGATGACAAATATGCTTTGCAAAATGATCATAAAATGTTAGCTGGATATTTTCCATGGTACATATATGATTACACTTATCTGAAGGAGAAAAAGGCAAGAAAACTAATATTGTTTTCCACCTGTAACAATATTTTAAATACAACAAAAGGTCTCTCCCCCACCCTTGCATGTCAGCAAAGTTGAACCTAATAAATGGGAAATTACCTGAAGTGGTTAACATTCAAGGGTAGAATTAACGCACACGTGTATCCATAGCTTCACGTCATACAAGTCTGTCTGCACCCCACACCATGACAGCCAAGGACAAATGCAGCACCAAGAAACAGCACAGAGCAAAAAGCAGAGCAACAAAGAGCAGAAAAAAGGAAACTTCAGTCATTGAGACAAGTTCATCAGATGAAGCACAGGAATTAGACTTAGGATTCATTTTAAAGAAAAGCTTGATATATTAACAATAACAACAACAACAAAAAAGAAAAACAACACAAAAAGAAGGATGTGCAACACACACATATTTGCTCAATGTGCTACTTGAATTATGCTTATTTCCAACTTCAGAGGACAGAGGTTATGCCCTTCGCTTTGTTTGTAAAAGTAGCCTCAGACGTTCCTCAGATTTTAAAAGATCGTCATTTAAAATAATGACTATGCAAAGAGAATACTTTTCTTCATGGTGTGACTTCTTCCCCATTTACTATCTGTAATTTCAAATTCTCAAAAAATACTTTCCAAGTAATGAAAAAAAGATCTTCAAGTTGTGTCACCTAAAACTCAAGTTCCTCATTCACAATTTCTACAGTCACATTGTATACATTCCCAAATCAAGGATGAACAAAAACAAGGCAGCACCCTGCTAGAGCCTTCTGCACAGCACTTTGAAGTGAATGTTATAGTACAGGAAATAAGAGGTGATCTGCAATCGGAGGACTAGATTCTTCCCTATTTCTAGAGAGTATTTTTAAAGTACTCATATTGCAAACTCAAGAAAGTAGGGTAAAAGCTTTTTAAAAAGGGAAAGACTTAACAAGAAGTAAATGAAGGGTTAGTACAATCCAGAGTTTAGTACCTGTGCTAAAGTGATTATCAGTGGAATCAAGCCTGATTAAATCTCTGACGAAGACTGTGTGCTCCCCACTGTTAGCATCATTAGAACTATCCACGCTACCGTGGCTCACCGTGTCCCCATCACTTCCACCTGTCGCATTCTGAGGAGCTGAAGATAAGGACAATAGCAGTTCAATAACTCATGCACTGAAAATCTCTGAAACCAAACATGAATGCCCCACATTCATTTACAGTTGCAGAACACTTTCTAAATTTGTGGGGAGGAAATAATAATGTAACCTCTATCTTTAATTATATATGAAAATATCAACCAGGATTTCATTTACATTTTCTATTTCATATACTTAAAAACTTGTATGCCTATAAAGCTTATGGTTCAGCAAGAGAGTATCTTTTCAATCACACATATTACCTGATATTGAGGAGACCTGTGACTTTTGCACAGTCTTTTTAAGCGGCTGCCTAAACTGTGCCAAGCCACGTACCACATTCCGTACCTTCGTCCATAAGAAGATACCACTGCGGGTACTGCTAGGCCATGGGCTCTCCAAAACTACCTAAAGGTAAAATGAAGGTTAAAAATAATAATTATTAGGAACACCTGATTTTTAAAGAGATACATACATATATAATACATACATAAATAACTATAGCCCAAACCTCCATGAAAGAAGTTTCATGAATAAGGTACAAAAATGTATCAATCTTAATAAGCAGTATATACTGCCTAATGTCAATCCCACTTACCTTATTATAATAACCATAAGTAATAGCATTTGGCTTTATCTTAGCAGTTTTCATTTCAAACAAGACTCTCACTGCTAAAACAGGATGACCCCAAAGTCCACAGAGCTGCATTACTACTCGATAGCACACCTAACAAAAAATAACATCAAAGCATTAGTAGTTGGCATATTAGTCTACCTATCTATGACTTGCAGAGATTTTTAAATTACTCACTTCTTCTTCTCAAGGTCATTAAGCACTATTTTATCCTTTGCTCTGAGTCTCAGTAAATTATTTTTAAAACCTATTCATTAATGAAAGTACCAGCATTATTAACTGTCTCACATAAGATCTATGTGCACGTATGCCATTTGTTTCAGTAACTAAGTTTACACAAAGAGAATGACCACCAGTTCCCATAATTTGAGAAGGAATTCATTTTTAAAATCTAATATAACTAAAATAATTCTCTTACAAATCATGTTTGATATTCTGTGCCAAAGGAATTAAAGACACCACCTCCAGGATCCCACATAACAACAACAACAAAAGATCTGTAAACCCACATCTTGGAAAAGTAGGAGAAGAAACGTTAAGACACTGCAATATGATTAACAAAGGCTTTTCTGAGAATATGTGTTTACTGAAGAGGGCTGGTTTTGATCACAAGAGGATAAGCGAACTGGAAATTCCTAAAAGTTGGAATCTCACGTATTAAGAAGACTAGAGCAGAAACCATGAAAAATGAAACGGGTTTCTCAAGAGGTCCTGGCAAAGAGGTGAGCCAGTTTACAGGAACAGGGACAGCAAAGCCACAGACTATGTTCCAGCTTAGTCTGAGAATAAGGAAATATACACACAGACTCTTCTTGGGACTTTAGGACAGAGTGGGTCAACACCTATGAGTAATATCAAGCCAAGTTGCTCTCTCAACTAGAGGGGAAAGTAAAAAGATTTCAGAAAGGATGTTTTAGTTAAGAGAACAGAACAAATGAAACAGAAGAGACATGAAAAACCTGAGGATCATAAAGATGAATACTTGAAGCTAGAAATGGAGAGTATAATTGAAACGCAGAAGGAGGTCAGAAACTGTTAGAGCAACTCTATAAATGACGAGGTTAAAGAAGTGTTAAGAAACTGAGAATCAAGGACAACTGAAAGAAGTAGTAGGTAAGATGTGTGAAGGGAGGAAAAAGAATGGGGTACAAGAGGGTTCTTCAAATATCTGAAGAGTAAATAGTTTGAAACTTTTCCAAAAAAGCCATAGGGAAAGAGTAAATAGTTTGTATAATTTCAAAAACAAACAAACAAGGAAGTATAACTGAGCTCAACAAAAACACATACATTTCCTATTAGATTCAATTCAAATATAGGCAGGATCCCATATGTTACAGATTTTATACAGAGCATCTCAGCTTCAGATTCAAGTTGCACTAAAATGCCTTAAAATCCTATCAACTCTTAAGATCCTGTGAGCCATAAAGTAGTAAATCACTTTCTATGTCAAACTGGGATTAATCTGAATTTTCTAAAACCATTCTAGACAATGAATTTATTTGGAAGTCTAGAAAGTATTCCCCCACCTTCCAGTTTTACCTGTATAAGAGATAAGAGCCAGGGACCAAACTAAAGAAGCAGTAATAATACAGAGACACAATTTTTCAAATGCAGTATATTATTGCCTGTAACATAATCTTTTCGATATCTATAATAGATAAAAGACAGCCATGCACTCTTTGATATTCCTCGCACCAAGAGGTCTATGTCCCTACCCTTGAACTGAGGGAAAAGAGCTTCTGAGACTACATGACCAATAGAATATGACTAAAGGGACACTGTACTAGTTTCCTGGTTTAAGCCTTAAGAAACTGCCAGTCTCTACTTCCTCTCTCTTGAAACAAATGCTCTTTGAGCTCTAAGCTATCATAGGGAAAAAACCCAAGTACCACAGAGGGAGGTCCTGAGCCTACTGAGAGAGAAAGAGGGGTCCACCTGAGCCCAGCATCACAATCGCCCTTGCCAAGGCACCTAGCTGGCATTTGAGTTCAGCTGTCTTGAGCCCCCCAGAGCAGATCAGTCAGCAACCGATATAATTAAGTGATCCCAGTTATGCAATGAGGAGCACTGAAAAATCACCCAGAATCCTTTCTGGATTCTCAGCACAAAAAATAAATAAATAAGATTTATTTAATGACATCATTGTTTTAAGCCACTAAGTTCTGGGAGGGTTTGTTACTCAGCAATGTATGAATAGACTGATAAGACAGTGTAGAAATACGTTTGACACAAATATTTCATTTTCATTAAAAATTCTAGGGGTGCCTAGGTGGCTCAGTGGGTTAAGTGTCTGACTTTTGACTTCAGCTCAGGTCATGATCTCGCAGTTCATGGGTTCGGGCCTCATATCTGGCTCTGTGCTGGCAGCAGGGAGCTCACTTAGGATTCTGTCTCTCCCTCTCACTCTGTCCCTCCCCTGCTTGCTCTCCATCTCTCTCAAATAAAATTTTTTAAATGAAGACATTTTTTAAAAATTCTGTAAATAATGGGGTGCCTGGATGGCTCAGTCAGTTAAGCGTCTGACTTCAGCTCAGGTCATGATCTCACAGCTCAAGCCCCACGTCAGACTCTGCTGACAGCTCAGAGTCCGGAACCTGCTTCGGATTCTGTGTTTCCCTCTCTCTTGCTCCTCCCCGTTAGCACGGGCTCTTTCTATCTCTCAAAAATAAAGAAACATTTAAAAAAATTAATTCTGTAAATAGTATTAAAAGCAAAATGCATTATGCACTTTAATTTCATCTGTGTGGCATATGCTATTTCTTGATCTTCTAAGAGTTTTATTTTAAAATCCAAACAACATGCAGAACACAAAGCTGTCAAATTAAAACATCAAGCATATGAATGAGACAGTGGGCTCTAATGAAACAGACCTAAAAATCAGAACTACTTTTTGGGCAGTCTTACATGTTTGTCATTTAAGTTTCAAATTACTCTCTTTATAAAATGTAGCTAATATACAAATTGCCTCAGAGAATTGCTGGGAATACCAAAGGAAAAAACGTACATGACAATACTGTGAAAACTTTAATATCCTACTCTATGTATAAACAATAGACAAAATATATGAAATATACTTAGCAAATATACATTCTTAAGTTTTAAAATAAACATTTCTTTCTTCCAGTTGTGGAGAGGTAATGACTTCAGGACACTAAAAAAATCTGTCAATGTAACTTATTAGAAGGAATATAACAAATTAAGCTTCAAATTTTAAACTTATCACAGTGTTTATTGGGGAAATCATCTGAAAAAAAATGCTTAGCTTATTAGTCATAATTGCTGCATGTCAGAAAACAAGAGAAGGTCATTATTTGTACCAAAGACTACCAGTCAACTTTAATACCTATAGAGGAAAATACTTTTCATACAATTTATGATATGTATTATGAACTTCCAACTTATCAAACAATCGAGTACTGTACTTTGAATTTAGAGTACAGTAACAATTCAGAGAGCATACTTTAAAACACTTTAAAAATATTTTATGTCTTTCACAAGTTAAAACACATGTTAAAACACATCTTAGATAGAAAAACTCTATTAGAACAAATTTTTTAAAACACTGACATGCATAAGGTACAAAACACTCTGATCAAGTACTTTTAATTTCCAAAGTTTTATTAACATTGGATGAAAGAAAATATAATCAAATATGAGAATGGATATTTTAGTACTTGTTTTATAATTTTTATTTTAAAAGCTTTTATAACATATACATGATAGAGAAAAATGGGTTTTAGTGTACCCACAGGCATTATCAAGTCTTCATATTATACATGCTATATTCATTTAAGATTGTTTTTATTTTTAAGAAGAAAAGCCATTGTTGAAGCCTATGACACACCTCTCTTCAATCCCATTTCTCTTCTCTTCCCCTGTGCTCTTTCCCCTCAGATACCCATTACTCTGAATTTTTATTTCAACTTTGCTTTAAATTCTAATCTGATTCTAAATATCATTTACAGTTATTTTAACACCAAAAGTTATTTTTAGAGGGAAAAACATCAAAGAGAAAGGCTAAATAAGTGATTCCATTTCTTCAACCATTGACTGGATAATATCACTACCTATCTTTTAGAATGGCTCGGAAGCTTTAAAGAGGTAGTGTCTATAAAACCTTTAGCATATCATTCACTGAGTGCTTACACTATAAGCCAGATACTATTCTAGGCACAATCTGTACATTAACTGACTTAACCCTCAAGTTAACTTTATAAAGATGGTATCAACTATAATGTCTATATCAGTGGGGCGATGTGGACCACCAGGGAACAGTTGGCAATGTCTGCAGACATTTCTTATTGCCACGTAGGAAAAGGGAGGGTGCTACTGATATCTAGTAAGTACAGGCCAGGGATGCTGGTAAACATTCTGCAATGCATAGAACAGGCCCACAATAAATAACTATGTGGACCAAAATGTCAATAGTGCCAAGGTTGAGAAATCTGGATCTACATTTTCAGACATATAATGAAACACAGGTTATATAATTCATCCTAGATATAGAGCTTAAGTGGAGAGCTGCTTACTAAAACCCTATTTTCTAGTTACTTTCTAATAACATTATACTAAGAATAAAATGAAGTCAATATTATTTTCTATTTATAAGGTGCAAACGATCTGACCTAACTAAAGCAGTCTCTGCTTCATTTCAAACCAATAATTTTTACATAAATGTATTTAAAAATAAATAATAAGTACTAGCTCTATGAAACAAAGTACTAGTTTTACCTTTCCTGCTTAATGAAAATACTTGAGAGCACTTTAGAATGGCCGAGACCTAGTTTTCTTAAATGTACAAAAATAAAACATATCTTAGTAATGATAAATCAGTGTGTCATACTTGCCTCATCTAGCGGATCCACATCTGTTTTCCTCATCTTTATAAGTACATCATATGCCTGCTGAAGTGCTCTGACCTTAGGATGAGAAACTCTAACATAGGCTGGGAGACAAATAAACCATAAGCTGTAACAATGACTGAAGAGACACTTGGCCCATTGTGGTGGATTTGTGTAACATCTCTTCGCCAACTTATGAGCCGTTTTTATCTCCTAGAAAGAGAATAAATAAAACATTATGGTATTTGGGGCACCTGGCTGGCTCAGTCGGTAGGACATATGACTCTTGATCTCTGGGCCACGGGGTTGAGCCCCATCTTGGGAGTAGGGATTACTTACCAAAAAAAACTTAAAAGAAAATCCAGTAAGGTATTTATTAAAATCCATTAGGGTGGGGAGAAAAGTGAGAAGGAAAAGAGAAGAATGTAATGTAAAATTTAACTCTAAAATCAAGCATTTCACAGTTTTATTTTCCTGAGTGGCTTCCTACTTAGTTCAACATGGTTCCTTCAACATTCATCTATAGAAGCACTTCATACTGCACTGTAACTATCTGCTGCCAAGCAAGCCTTTCCGAATAGACTAGAAATCCCTTAAGGGCAGGGATCATCCCTATTTTTATAATATAATGGCTAATTGTTGCCCTTCACATAGAAGGCACTAATATTTTTGATGGATGACAGGGATTTAACCATTCAGAGCTTGTAGGTTCATCAATGGCATTCTTAAAAAGTGACAGTCTAGGGGCGCCTGGGTGGCTTAGTCGGTTAAGCGTCAGACTTTCGCTTGGGTCATGATCTCGCAGTTCGTGGGTTTGAGCCCCGCGTCGGGCTCTGTGCTGACTGCCAGCTCAGAGCCTGGAGCCTGTTTCAGCCTGTGACTCCCTCTCTCTCTGACCCTCCCCTGCTCACGCTGTCTGTCTCTCTCTCTCTCCTAAAAATAAATAAAACATTAAAAAAAAAAATTAAAAAAAAAAAAAAAGTGACAGTCTTTCTACCCCTCTCCCAGCTAAAATGTTTAACAAATACCCTAGGCTATTTCCTGCCAAGATTTCCCTCTAACTTTCCTCACCACAGTCTTTAATTCTTTCATGGACTGATTCCTTAAAGAGACATATGCCATTGCAGGCACCATAGTCTGACAAGATCACAGACCTTCCTACCCAACAGTATGATAGTGATGTCTTCTTACTTCTAATTTTCATTCTAATTTAGGTGGAAAAGAGTAGGCATCAAAACCATCTGCCGGGCTTTAATCAAACTATATACTCCCAGAAACTACAGAGCCTTCCAGATATATGAGATGACCACTGTGTGCCTTGTACTAAAAATTCCTCTGCTGTGATGTGTTCTAAATAAAATGTCTAAATAAAAATTATATGAAAAATTAACTTTTCATATAAGCTTTATTTCTATTAGACTTGAAGATATATTTACAAATACCATCCCTTGTTTTTCTAAGATGGGAAGGTTCTTTTCTTTTCCAGCTAGCCTGGGGAACAAAACTTCTGGTGAAAATGAGATTTAGAGATTTAGTAACCAAATTCTCCCATTTTAAAAACTGGCTTTTATTAAGCTGATAAAAGCAAACAGCAACAACTTCCCTTCAGACACTGAGAGAAATGTGTACTGTATGGTATTAAGGAATACTTCAGGTTACCTTTGGGATTTGGGGAGCTGTACATGAATTGGGATTTGGGGGGCTGTACATGAAATGGTAAAACCTGAACTAAAAACTTCATTCTGAAAATTTCCATGTTTTGTAGGCCACAACAATGTCAACAGATGTTTCATTTTAACTCATACCTAACCACAGATTGATTCTTTAGAACTAAATCAGATAATGGTATTAAAGCAAGATGTCTAGCTTGCCCTAAATTAGCTCCCTTTCACTCCCTTTAAATGTAGTACTTGGCATAGAGTATATTTATATTAACCATAGGAGATCTGAAAGTCAAAATTACACTGAGATACCACTTCACATGCACTAGGATGGCTATAATCAAAAAGACAGATAATAGGGCGCTTGGGTGGCTTAGTCGGTTAAGCGTCCGACTTTCGCTTAGGTCATGATCTCGCGGTTCGTGGGTTCGAGCCCCGTGTCAGGCTCTGTGCTGACTGCCAGCTCAGAGCCTGGAGCCTGTTTCAGTCTGTGACTCCCTCTCTCTCTGACCCTCCCCTGCTCACGCTGTCTCTCTCTCTCTCTTCTAGAAATAAATAAAAATATATTTAAAAAAAAAAAAGATAATAACAAGAATTGACAAGGATGTGACATAATTGGAACCCATATACACTGCTGGGAGGAATTTAAAATGGTATAACCATTTTGGAAAACAGTCCAACAGTTTCTCAAAAGGTTAAACACAGAGTTACCATAAGACACAGCAAGTCTACTTCTAGGCATTTACCCAAGAGAAATGAAAACATATATCCTCACAAACACTTACACACAAATGTTCACAGCAGCACTATGATAACAGCCATAAATAGGAACCACTCACATGTACAAGAATGAATAAATAAAATGTGCTACATATCCACACAATGGAATATCCAGCAATAAAAATAAATGAAGTACTGGCACATGCTGCCACACGAATGAACCTTAAAAACATTATGCTGTGTGAAAGAAGCCAGAAACAAAAGACTACATACTGTATAATTCCTTTTATATGAAATGCCCAGAATAGGCAAGACTATAGACACAGAAAATAGATTAGTGGTGCCCTAGGGCTGCAGAGGACGGACGGAAGGGTTAATAGGTAAGGGGTGCGGGCTTTCTTTCTGAGGCGATGAAAATGTTCTAGAATTGACTGTAGGGGTGGTTGTACAACCCTGTGAATATAGTAAAAGCCACTGAATGTACTTTAAATGGGTGAGTTGTATGGTATATGAAGTATATCTCAATAAAGTTCTTTTTTAAAAAGTATATTTGGTTCCCAAGGATTCTCTTAGCATAAACATAAGCACTCAAAAACTTTAGCCACAAGTAGAGCTGCAAGACATCTAGCTTCCTTCATTAACAACCACAGTGGGTCTTCAAATGGTTGCCATGTGTGATAATTTTAAACTATGAGCTGCATATCACATATACATATTTTACATTTTAAATTAACATGTATTAGGTAAAGAATATCTGACCTGTTTAGTTCTCTTAGCCATGAGAGCTGGACTGTTTGTAATGCTATTCCCAGTAGGGTGTCTACTAAAACAAAGTTTCAACTCCTGTGGTCTGTCAAAAAGCTTAAGGTCCAGTCTTGGAAAGTATTTGTAACTAAAATAAAAAGCAAAAATAGAGCTGCTGATTTAAAATACATTAATTCTTCACATTATTCCAGAATTTAGGTGAGTATTTCTAAATCTTAAATAGTACACAGTATTATTCCCCACAATCCGTATATAGAAAAATAATTACTTTTCAAAAATATAAGATGTTGTAATAAGATACACAGCCTACCTACATGGAAACTTTGGCCTCCTCCCCACCTTATTTGTTATTTTCAACCAATCCCTGGACAACAGAAAACCCTGATCTCTTACTTGACAGAGGTTAATAACTTTCAACAGAATCCATGTGTTCAATAATTCATATTAAAAGTAACATTCAGTATACTTTGTAATTATGTTTTCCTTCATAAAAGTACCTTGGCATGGGTATTTAAGAGAAAAAAACATTCATAAGATTTTTATTTTAGGGATATACTAGAATTTCAGCACTCTTCATTGTTGGACATTTTTAGGTTATTTCTGAATTTTTGCAGTTAAATATCTGTGTACTTATAGCTCTGTGAATACTTTTGCTATGGTCAATGTTTATCAATAAAATTAAAATCTTATAGTCACTATTAAATTATTTCAAGAAAGGTTATACTTACATACAGTCTTACACTAAGCTGTTGCACAACTATCCTCAATCTGAAAGGTTAAAAATGCTTCTATTCACCATTTTGGTTTGCATTTCTTTGAATGCTAGAGAAGCTTAATACATTTTCACGTTATTGATTATTGAGATTTCTTCTTGGAAATTTCCTACTTAATGCCTTTGGCCAATTTTCTTCTGGGAGATATTGCCCTTCCCTATTTGATTTACCTTGTTTGTTAATACATGGATTCCAAAGTATAGTGATTATATCAAAGGAAAAAACTCTATAATTAACATGCAATCAAAATAGTACTTCTTAATTATCCCACTAAATCCCAGGTATATACTCTTCATTCTTATGCAATCCTGGTAAGATACTAATTCCATCCTTTTGAGGACAATTTTATTTTATACTACTTTTGACTCATTCTTTTAGGAATGCAGCCTAAGGAAAAAACTATGTATATACACAAGGATATAAATAGCAAAGAACTAAAACAAAAATCCACAAGAGACTAGTTAAACAAATCACAATAAATGCATGCAGTATGATCATTCAAAATGATATGGCACAAAAATATTTGTTAGCATGGGAAAATGTCTATACCACTAAAGGCAGACACAAGTTACAAACAATATGTACAATCTGAACTCATATTTAATAGAGTAAATGCAAATTTATGCACAAAAACAGGAAAGATATACATACAGCTATTAACAGACATTAAGTATTGGTGCTTAAATGATGTGCTAGTTTTCTTTTTTGGTTTGCTATTCTAAGTTTGTTAAACTGTGTATTATCATAATTATAACAACAGATGACAATCAAATATATTTTAATTTCTTAAAAGGTTCCCATCCAAATCCTATTCTTCATGTGTCTTTTTTTTTTTTTTTTTATTTTAAATTCCAGTGTAGTTAACATACAGGCTTCTATCAGTTTCAGGTCTATAATATAGTGATTTAACACCGCCATATATCACCCAGCGCTCATTACAGGTGCAGTCTTTAATCCCCATCACCTATTTTAATAAACAATGATTCCTGGCCCTCTACTTTTAAGTTTTCTCTGTATCTTCCTAATGCATAAGAATTTCTGTCTTTACATTGATAACAAATCCCCCAAACATAGGAGAAACCTTACAAAAGTAAATTTATTCTTCTCCAGAAATCAAATTTTTAAAGATTAAAATATAATTACATGTTTAGGTGAATAGTCATCAACATTTGGCTTCCCTTCTAAAAAGTCGGTCCAATTCTTAAATTACAATACCTCGTAACATCTTCATGTAAATATTTATAATCCATTAGTTCACTGAAAAACTTATTTTTTGAAAATGAATTTCACAAATGACTAATATACATGTCTACCAACAGTCACAAAAGAACAAAATAAATTATTAAAGCTGAATACAAATAGCATTAAAAAAAACTCTTGCTACCTGTACTTTGGTGACAGATCCTTCCCATCATCAGGAGGCGGTTCTGGTGGCATTATGAATACAGTGTGCTCACTTTTCTGTGAATCATCTAGTTCTATCAATTTGGTATCTTCAGCTAAATCAAAATCAACCTGAAAATAATTATTTTCTCCAATTAATCTGCATACAAGAAATATCTAGTTCTGAAATTTTAAAACTTAAGAAAAAATACCTTATCTGTTTTCTCTGTGCCTTTGTCAGGAAACAACTACAAAAGAAAAAAAGAATTCTTGGTGAAAATGTTTACTGTGAAAACATTAGAGACGGTCTTAAATTCTTATGTAAAAAACTAATCTTGGAGTGCCTGGGTGGCTCAGTCAGTTAAGCGACCAACTTCAGCTCAGGTCACGATCTCACAGTTTGTGGGTTCGAGCCCCGCATCGGGCTCTGTGCTGACAGCTTAGAGCCTGGAGCTGGCTTCAGATTCTGTGTCTACCTCTTGCTCTGCCCCTCCCCTGCTCATGGTCTCTCTGTCTCTCGAAAATAAACAAACATTAAAAAAAAAAAAAAAACTATTCTTTTTTATTTTTTATTTTTTTTAATTTTTTTTTTAATGTTTTATTTATTTCCAGGAGAGAGAGAGAGAGAGACAGCATGAGAAGGGGAGGGTCAGAGAGAGAGGGAGTTACAGACTCCGAAACAGGCTGCAGGCTCTGAGCTGGCAGTCAGCACAGAGCCCGACGCGGGGCTCGAACCCACGAACAGCGAGATCATGACCTAAGCGAAAGTCGGACGCTTAACCGACTAAGCCCCCCAGGCGCCCTGAAACTATTCTTTTTTAATACTGGAAGATAGGGGCACCTGGGTGGCTCAGTCAGTTAAACGTCTGACTTGGGCTCAGGTCATGATCTTATGGTTCATGGGTTCAAGCCCTGTGTCAGGCTCTGTGCTGACAGCTCAGCAGCCTGGAGCCTGCTTTGGATTCTGTGTCTCCTTCTCTCTCTGCCCTCCCCTATTCACACTGCCTGCCTGCCTCTCTCTCTCTCTGTCTCTCTCTCTCTCAAATAAACATTAAAAATTTAAAAAAAATACTGGACAGAAAACACTTCACAATATATTTGGGGAACCCTATACTATCAGGTTAGCACATGATTAGTTTTCTATTAAGATAGAAACAATTTATTTTGAATAGTTCTTTCATAAATCCTTCTTCACAAGAAAAATGGCCAATCACAGGGGACCCTGCTCCTCAAATCAAAAATTTCATTGTTATTAAAGTGCCTGCATTAGAGATTGATATAATCTAAGCTTTCCTCTAACTTGATGATATTAGACCATCAATTTTAAAAGTAAACAAAAACATTCAATAGTTTTAATCTTATCCCCGGAGTTTCAGATCACAGTGATAGAATGGGAGAAAAACATTCAAGTCCTCTAAGGAGACTACAAAATGTATAATGTCATAATACTCTATCTTTTTAAGATTCACATTCTCAAATTTTACATAATATATGGTTTATATGTAAACCATATAAAATCAGCCCTGAGATCCACTTAGCAAAAATAAGAACCTGGTTAAAAATGCAAGGAAAAAAATGTGAGTCATCACTGTGAAAATCAAGTTGAACTTCCTTAGGATGGGTAAGTAAAACTTTGATATTTAACATATTTCAAATATGCTTCATTAAAACAAAAAATATTTAGCAAAAGAACCTGCAAAGACTTTATTAAAACAAAAGAACACAAGACTTCCATTACCCTAAAGTAAACTTTCTTAATGAACTACTAAATCTTATATCTTACTTAGGTAAATAAAAATGAAAGATTTAGAAGGTTCATTGAAATGTTCTTAGTACTCATGAGTTACAAAACCAAAGTGAGATTCAAGACAAATTAGCTATGTATGGCGGAAACTAAATATCTAAAAGGAAAATTCTTATGTTAAGCCTAGATTTGGACACTTATGCGCATGCGCGCGCGCGCGCGCACACGCACACCCCTATACTACCTCCCTCAGATCATCTGGGCTAATAATGATGATGATTATACAGGCAACCAAACTGTTTAAGTTTTTCTTTTAACACTTATATACAGAGAAAACTTTTACCTTTTCTATGCAGTCATCAAAAAATGCCAATCCAGTATCTTTATCACTTACAAAACTACATTCTTCAATGAAACGAATAAAAATCTGTGTTTTGGATAAATGGGTGTAGAATTTTGTATAGGCACGATCTCGACTTTTTAAAAATCCTGAAAAAAAACAAAGTCACAATTGATTTCAAAACTTAAAGTAGAACCAGATGTCAAAATATTATTTTAAACTTGAACATATATTCACATTTATAGAAGCTTTTAGTAACCATATTCTAGTAACTATACCTCCTTCTGCCTAATTCAACCATAAACATTTAACTTAAACACCACTAATCTTTTCACCGAAATCTGAATCGGCTGTAAGGAACCTCTAGGCCTCCAGCTCTCAAATAGAAATTTCTTGCATACACGGCATAGTCTTGAGTGAGAAGGGTCAAACGTCCTTCTCTGCAATGCCACCAGACAACTCCTGTAATGGCCTGTAAACATTTCTACTCAGTGACAGTGCAGTCATCTACTGACTTCAGGGACATTCTCTCCCCTTCATTCACTGAGGACGAGGGTACCTAATTCCAAGTCTTCTCTTCAGCTCCTATCATGATCATTCTTCAACATCTATAAGCACAAACCATCCAACACTTTAATGAGTTCTTAATGCCTTAAATTTCAATTATCTATGGTCTATCCCCAGTCACCAACTTCTACACAGTCATGCACTCCCAGGACTTTTGCTAACATTCAAAACAGCTCTGCCTCCCAAATCTAATTTACATATACATATTACTCTCTGCCCATTACCCTTGTCTGATCTGCTTCCTTTAGTACTCCTACTAAGCATGGGGGGCAGAGGGGAGGCTGTTCAAATCCACAATCATTCATATCCTTTTACATTCTACCTACACTCTCCTATCTTCACTTCTCTCCTTATTCAATTTTGATTCCATGTCTACCATTTCAATTACTTTCTTGTCAATACTCTCAATTCTTATATCCTTTTGTCTTTTTCGTTAAACTCACTCAGTATAATTTAGCCCTGGAGGAATGAATTGCCTGCTTTCTCTGGATCTACAACAGTGTAAATGAGCACAAATTAAAAGGGGGTGGGGGGAATTCTACAACTGGGCTTAACAGAACCACTTATACCTTCATCTATGACTACCAACCCTTCTAAATTTCTGGAATCAAATTAATTTTCCTTTACCCATGTTTTTTACAACTATTTCCAATTTTTAAATTCTCTCCTATCATATTCCCTTCTCCATCATACCTTATATATACACCTTAATATTGCATGCAGAGAAAATGAAAATCATTAAGAGAATTACTGTCATTATCTCACTACAAAATCTATGCCTTTCTGCAGCTACCATTTACTCCTTCCTTTTTTTTTTTTTTACAATGAATATGTCCCTCTTACCTAAGGCCAAACCCATGACATGAGCCTAAGATTCCAGTCCTTCAGTGTTCTCAGGACAATTTCCCCTCTCTATGAGCTACCTATTAGCACACCCAAGTCTCTCTCATTTAAAAAAAAAAAACAACTTTCCTTAACAAATAGTAAGATCCTTTCTCTTTCTGTTGTTTCCCTTCTCAATAAAAGGCATGACCATCCATCCACTTGGTTGACAAAGACAAAAATCTCAAAGTTGCTCTTGACATCTCCCTGTATCTTACATCCTATATTCAATCACCAAGTTCTATGCAATTACCTCCAAAAAAGAAAAAAATCACTTATCACTCTTTTCAACTAAAGCAGGTCACTTTCACTAATCACTTGGAGCAATGTGATAACCAACTAACTAGCAGATCCATATTTTGGATGTCTCCAATTCAGTCTCTACATAGAAGTCAAAGGAAACAAAATTTAATGCTGATCTTTTAAAAATGCAAATCTGGGGCACCTGGGTGGCTCAGTAGGTTGAGTGTCTGACTTCAGCTAAGGTCACAATCTCATGGATTTTGAGTTCAACCCTACATCAGGCTCTCTGCTGTCAGCACAGAGCCTTGCTTTGGATCCTCTGTCTCTCCCTCTCTCTGTGTGTGCACGTGCACTCTCGCACTCTCTCTCCCTCTTTCTCTCTCACATATAAACCTTTAAAAAAATTTAAAATGCAAATCTTATCCTATTACCTACTTAAATAGCCTTCACTGGCTTCCAATTACTCTTAATGACTGAAACCCTTCACTGGTCCTAAAAGATCCTACATGATTTGGCTCACACCCACCATTTTCAGGCACTGGAGTTTTTAAGCCACTTTTCCTCTCCAGCTTTTCTTTCTTTGATGCTTCAGGGCATTCCACATGCTGTGGTCACACGCCCCCCTCCCCCATACTAATTAGCTGATAAATGCTTACATAAAATAGAAATAAATTGAATAAATTATTCTTGACAAGTAGTAACAAAAAGTGTTTTTTTCTTCTAATAGATCTAGGCAAAGATTAGCAAAGGCTATTAAAGTAATTGAATGAAAGGCTGATGGGAAAACTATAATGAATAATGAGGCTGACAGCATTTAAATACACTGATCAATCCTAGGAGTACTAAAAATGGGACAGCCAGATATGCTTGCAGGTTGTAATAGGAAGTAGTGTTTTTGGCACTACGTGCCAAGAAAATTGAACCTGAATCTAATAAGCTCTAGAACAGCACTGTTTAATTCAGTAACCACTACGCACATATGACAATGTAGCACTTGAAATGTGACTGATCCAAACTGAGATGTGCTCTAAACATAAGACACATGCTGATTTCAAAGCCTTGGTATAGAAAAAAATAAAAGTAAAATATACCATTACAATTTTTAAAATTTAATTACATGTTGAAATACCATTTTAGATACTTTAAGCTACAAAAACATATTATGAAAATTTCCCCTATTGCTTATTTTTTTAACTGTAGCTACTACAGGGAGGTTTTTTTTTTTTGGTAGAGAGTGAGCAAGTGCACAGAAACAGGGGAAGGGACAGAGAGAGAACCTTAAGCAGGCTCTGTGTTCAGTTCAGAGTTCAATTTGGGGCTCAATCCCATGACCCTGGGTTCATAACCTGAGCTGAAATTAAGTTGAATCACCCAACTGTCCCAGAAATTTAGTATTTTATTAAATATTAAATGTGTGGCTCACGTTATATATATATATAAACACATATATAATTAATGTCTATTTATTTTTGACAGACAGAGCATGAGCAGAGGAGGGGCAGAGAGAGAGGGAGACACAGAATCTGAAACAGGCTTCAGGCTCTGAGCTGTCAGCACAGAGTCCTAAGTGGGGCTTGAACTCACAAACCAGATTGTGACTGGAGCTGAAGTTGGATGCTTAACCAACTAAGCCACCCAGGTGCCCCTCACATTACATTTCTATTGGAAATGTATCTCTTAATCCAACCACAAGTTTACAGGAAATACAGATGATAGAAGAAAGGTTAAATAACACCATGGGGACATAATCAACCAAAAGCATAGGAAATTCTACAGGATAACTAAAAGTTTATAAATCAAATGATGTCCTGTTTGGAATCTGGAAAGAAAAAGGGGGAAAGGATGAAATAAAAAATGGCAAAATGTTGATTGCTGCCACCGCTAAAGTTGGAAGATGGTTATATAAGAGTACGTTATGTTATTCTATTTTTACCTAGTTTGGGAAAGTATCCCTAATAAAAAGTTAACCTAAAACCCACAGTTAATTCCTGTTCATTTTTCAGGCCCAAACTTAGCTGTTACTTCTTCAGGGAAACTTTACCCTGATTTAGCACTCTTACTATAACCAGTAAGTCCCTTCATATCACACTTTATACAATGTAATGAGTATTTGTGTTATGATCTAATGGCTGTATCCCTCACTACACTAAATATTATCCTGTTGACAACAAAAACCTTAGGCCTCAGACACTAACTAAATATCTTCCTAAATTCTATTAGTAAGGCCATGCTCCCACAGATGGAGAGAGGGAGGGAGAGAGAGAACATGAGTGAATTAGTGGCTCACTACTGCCAATTACAAAAATTCCATATTCTTAGTCTGGCATTTAAGAATATAATCTGAGCTCTAATTTTATTTTTAGCCTTACCTTTCACAATACTTCTAAAGCTCTTCACTTTGGTCAAACTGTACCAAATATGCTGTTATGGGCTGAACCCTATAACTCTTATACTGTACCCCCTCCAAATTCTTATTTTTAAATACTATATATTCAAATAGGGTCTTTAAAGAAGTAATTAAGTCTAATGAAGAAATTAGAGGTGGGCTCTAACCCAACGACTAATGTATTTAAAAGAAGAGGAAATGTAGACCCAGATTCATCCAAAAGGAAGACAATGTGAAGACACAGGGAGAAGATGGCCATCTTTACAAATCAAGGAGAGAGGCTTCAAAGAAAACCAGTCCTACCAACACATTGATCTTGGACTTTTAGCTCTTAGAATTGTGATTAAATAGATTTTTTTATTTTAGGCACCCAATATATGGCACTTTGTTATGGCAGTCGTGGCAAACTAATACACGTCTCATATGTTTCTTCTGGAGGTTTCTGCCATTCTGTTATTACCACTAACGATTATAGCTGTTATCCTGAGTACTGTAATTTTACTAGTTGCTTCACATACATTTAATCTTCACAACCTTATGTACAAAGTAGGTATCATCCTCGTCTTATTAATGAAAAAACAGAACCTCAGAAAGGCTTAATAAAGGAGCTCCTGGGTGGCTCAGTAAGTTAAGTGTCCGAGTCTTAATTTTGGTTCAGGCCATGATTTTACGATTCATGGGATCGAGCCCCCATGTAAGGCTCTGTGCTGACAATGTGGAGCCTGCTTGGGACTTGGGATTCTCTCTCTCCCTCTCTCTCTGCCTCTCCCCGGCTCTCATGCACTCTCTCACTCTTTCAAAATAAAATAAACATTAAAAAAAAAAAAAAAAGGAAGGCTTAATAAATAGCAAAGAAGAAATTCTATTCAGATTTGACTTTTGATGCGTGTTGTTTTTTAGAAACCGTTTCCTGCTCATCTCCATTTATACAAATACAATCCATTCTTCAAAGTCATGCTATTCTTCCATGGAGTCTTCCAAATTATTTATTTGGAAGAATGTTCCATTTTTATAAATTTTGGAAATTCTCACTGATTACTGTGTAAAATCTGTTTTCTTGAGTATATGATCTATTTTAAAAAGTATTTTAGACTATTTTCCATTTCCTACCCCATAGAGCTAGACTTTAATACTTCTTTATATCCCTACATAATAACTAGTCTGACATAGTAAGTGGTGACTAAATATTTGAGAGGTTATCCTGAAGCAGAGATGATAAAAGACAAAAGGATTACTGGAAAAATAGATTTTTTAAAAAAAGTAACTGCTGGGTAGGGGCACCTGGGTGACTCAGTCAGTTGAGCATCTTTGGCTCAGGTCATGATCTCACAGTTTGTGGGTTCAAGCCCCACATCAGTTCCATGGCTGTCAGCACAGAGCCTGTTTCGATCCTCTGTCCCCCTCTCTCTCTACCCATCCCCTGTTCATGCTCGCTCACTCTCGCTCTCTCTCTCTCAAAAATAAAACATTAAAATAATAATAAAATAAAATAACTGCTGGGTAAAAGTACAGAAATATAAAATAACTTTCATGAGTATCTGTAAGGTTGCTACTACATTTAAGAACAGTTGAATAACGGGGCGCCTGGGTGGCTTAGTTGGTTAAGCGTCCGACTTTCGCTTAGGTCATGATCTCGCAGTTCGTGGGTTCAAGCCCCACGTCAGGCTCTGTGCTGACTGCCGGCTCAGAGCCTGGAGCCTGCTTCAGTCTGTGACTCCCTCTCTCTCTGACCCTCCCCTGCTCATGCTGTCTCTCTCTCTCTCTCCTAGAAATAAATAAAACATTNTTAAAAAAAAAAAACAAACAGTTGAATAACAAAAATCTGAATATGAATATAGTGTTTTCCCCTGAAACAAGGCTCTATTTTTCAAAAACTTGAAAAACTGGTGTCCTCATTCTAAAAACTAATTGTTAGAGAATACTATAAACCTAAGAATATATAAATTGAAGAATTATGCAAGATTGAGGAACCACCTAAACTAAATCATCAGGTGTGTTCAACTAAGATAACTGTCTAGTAAATATAAGCAACATCTTTGACTTTTCATAAAGATCTCCAGTTTCAGATTTCTCAGGGAAAAATGGAGAAAAAAATTAAAAGAAATTCTTGATAAAGCCAGATTACAAATGCACAGAAGTTTATTGTATTTTAATATACATTTCTAAGAACTTACATCATGAATATTTTGGGGAGTAATACCAAATAAAAAATATTTTTCATTTCCATAAAAAATAATTACATTTTCAATGCCACTCACCCTGTCTGTCAAATAATGAATCAACAGCTGTGGCTTTATTTGAAGGAGCCTCCGTGATTGGCTTGAGATATGCCCTATATCCTTTTAAAATGGATGCCATAAAACGCAAAAATGCCTCTTGAATTTCCATTTCAAGTTGTGTCACCTTCTTTTGCCAGGAGAAATCTGCTTCAATTGGAGTCATCTCAATTGCTGAACTTTCCTGAGTTTTTCGGTGAACTGACAAATGAAGAGAAAATGGCATTTACATACAAGTACTGATTAAACAATTAAGAAAATCATCAAAATAAAAACTCATGACTTCTTGAAATTCCTCTCTCCATTCATGAAGAGGGATAGTTGGCAAGAGCTAACAGGGAGACTCAAGCAGACAGGACAAAACATGCTCAAAATTCATGAACCACACAATATTAATGTCTTAGTACCGAAATTTTGTTTTGTTAATGAGATTCCTTTTATTCAGAGCAAAATTTTATTTAAATTTATGAATATCCTCATATATATTCTCTCATTAAAATACTCCCTTTTCCTCACATTCACCTGAAGATAGCTGGGGATACAACTTCTTTAAGGTACTAAGCAGATTTTTGCATGGCTTTTTGGGAAGCTGCTTCCAATTCATGTTCTTCTTTTCATCTGATCTATTAAATAAAAACATAATAAAAGCTGTTATAATCTCTTTTTACTTGGCAAAATATCTGTATCAAACTAAAAAAAATGGAAAGGGTGTTTTTGCTCAAATTACAATTGACACAGATGGTCTAAATAAGTGGTTTTCAAGGAAACTCTTTTCTTTAAGTTTTTATTTATATTCTAGTGAGCTTCTACAATGCAGTCTCTTTTCTCCCTCTAGTTGTGCACTTTGTTCTCTCTGTCCTCAGATCAGTTTCCTGGGTGTTTAGAACGATTTGGTATCTATCTAGCTGTGTACGAGGGATGAGGCAACCATAGGGTCCCCAGTGCTCCGCCATTTTAGCTTCTCCTCCCTCGCGAAAATTCTCTTTACACTTCAACCAACCTTATGCCGACTTGGTCATCTCACCCTAATGTTCTAACACAGATTTCCGGAAAAGGCTGGAGTTATGAATTCAAGACTGAAGTCTTGCTTCAAAAGTTACATTTTAGAATTATAATATCTTAGGTGACAAACTTAATTGATACTTCAAACTACCTATTAGAAGCAAATTGCAACAAACATCAGAGAATAATATATAAAGTATATTCTGACTACAATTCAACTAGTTAGCATTTGAGGAAAAAATCTTGGAAGTTTAAAATTAAGAACACTTTCTAGTTTTTTCACATTTGTTTATTATTTTGAGAGAGAGAGAGGGAATGAGCAGGGGAAGAACAGAGGGAGAGGGAGAAGAAGAGAGAGAGGAAGAGAAGGAAGGAGAGAGGGAGACTGAGAGACAGAGAGAATCCAAGCAGGTTCCACGCTGCTCACTTCCAAGAAACATGAGATCATGACCCGAGCTAAAATCAAGATTCAGACACCCAACTGACTGAGCCACCCAGGCATCCGCAAAAGAACACTTTTAAATAATGCAGGAGTAAAAACATTTTAATAGAAATAAGAAACATTTAAAACTCTACAGAGATAAAAGGCTATACATCAACCATGGGCTGCAGCTAACACTATACATCAGGCCAGTATCATTTATGAACAATAGTTCAAACATTTTAGATTCTTAGAAAACTCAATCTGCTAGGATATAAAAATACAAGATGATGTTTATTTCAGGAATGTAAGGATTATTCATTAGTGATTGATTTTATAATGTTATTTACCACACAGAAAATAAAGGAGAAACAATGGTCATCTCAATAGTTGTATAAAAGTGTTATAAAATTCAACACCTACTTAAAAGTATTTTTTTAATCATTATGTACAAGTAGAAAGTAAGTTCCATTATTTATTATTAATCAAAACCCTAGAGTAGGGCTAGCAAACCTTTTCTATAAAAGGTCACACATTAAATATGTTTTGAGGACCACAGGGGCTCTGTCACAACTTCTCAAATGTACAATTATAGCATGAAAACAGCCTCAAAGAGTATGTAAATGAGTGAATTTTGTAATTTTAGTTACACAAATAGGCCACAGGCCAGATGTCAATTCTTGCTTAAATCAGTGATCATAATAATGAAGTGCTCAAAACATTCCCTTTAAAATTAGGAATAAGACAAGATACCAGCTATGATTACTTCTATTCAATGCTATATTAGGATCCTAGCCAGTGATTTAAGACAAATTTAAAAATAAATAAGGACTGGGGCAACTAGGTGGCTCAGTCAGTTAAACATCCTACTCTTGATTCTGGCTCAGGTCATGATCTCACCGTCAGGAGATTCAGCCCAGCCATGGGCTCTACCTGCCCTGCCTAAGATTCTCTCTCCTGATCCCTCTGCCCCTCCCCCACTCACACTTGCTTGCTTTCTCAAAAAAATAAAATAAAAATATATAAGGATTGCACATGATGTGATTATTGACAGTCAATAAACTGAAGAGACTCTACAGACAAAATAGAAGAATTCACTTAATTTGCCATGCAGCAGACTCATACATGAAAACCAACAGCATTTCTATACTATAGTATCTAACAGAAAATTTAATTTAAAATACCACTTATAGTGGCAATAAAAAACACACCATACTTAGGAATTAATAAGTCTAACAAAAGATGTGCGTAGGCTTTATGGAGAAAACTGCAAAGTTTATTGAAAAAATGTAAAAAGATCTGTGAAGTAAAACTCATAGTCAGTTCTGCATCCAACTTCAGCTCAGGTCATGATCTCACAGTTTGTGAGCTCGAGTCCGTCGGGCTCTGTGCTGACAGCCAGCTCAGAGCATGGAGCCTGCTTCAGATTCTGTGTCTCCCCCTCTTGCTGGCCCTCCCCCATTCATGCTGTCTCTGTCTCTGTTTCTGTCTCTCTCAAAAATAAACATTAGAAAAAAATTAATTTCTCTGTAATAAAATAGATCCTAAAAAATTTCAGATCTTGACAGCTAAGGAAATGGCTTAATATTATCCTATATTCTGACTAAAGTCATTTTTTAAAAGCTTACATACAGATTTTGAATTAAAGCTAGAAAGCATATCATCTTGAGCCCCGGAAGAAGTGTCCATCCTTTTTCAAATTCACCTTTTCTTTTGACAAATATCTTCTACCTACTGCCAACGCTATTACCAAAATACTATAAACTAATGTTAAACATGTTCTTTTTCAAACTTTCCAGGATTCTGATACCTGCCCTCACTGAGAATTATTGTACTAACGATGAAAACTTATTGCACGTATATTAGGATTAGGAGGAACTTAACGGAGGACCATGGGGGAGAAGAAGGGGAAAAATAGTGGGGGAGAGAGAGGAAGGCAAACCATGAGAGACTCTTGAATACTGAGAACAAACTGAGGGCTGATGGGTGTGGGGGAGAGGGGAAGGGGGGTGATGGGCATGGAGGAGGGCACTTGTGGGGATGAGCACTGGGTGTTATATGGAAACCAACTTGACAATAAACTATTAAAAAATAAAAATTTAAAAATGAAAAAATAAAGATGAAAACTTAATACCAATCTTAAAAAATACCATGTTTCCAGATGCTTTCAAAGAGCTGTAACAACTACATATGGGGAAAAATACAAATGGAAGATAATATAAAAAAAAAAAATCAACTTACACATATAACATGTTTGTATCCAAGTCAATGCAAACAACATCTTGTGGTGGGTCATGAAGATCAAAATACCTGGAGTCAACTCCAACTATAAACGGTAAAGGTGCACTAAGCACTGCCGCCAGCGAAAGAGGACAAAGGGGAATGTATGGGCACTGCCACTGAAACGGAAAGATCATCTGGGAAAAAAGTTTTTAAAAATTAACCAAATTTGAAATTTCCAACAAAAAGTATGTAATTAACTAATATTACTGAAATACCATTAAAAGCTGTAAAGTCCAGTTTCTTTCATCTTACACTTCATTCAAAAAACCAAATGACTATAAAATACTACTAAGTAATACCATGAACCAATGTGATTAAATCTTCACACATGACAATTATCACACGCACAATAAAAATGCTGACAGCTTTTTTACATGTTAATTCTAATGCCATACAAAACCCACATCCAACATTTTTTGGAAAAAGTCAAACCAGAGAGAAAACTTATAAAACAAACTCATAATCTTTAACTCTTAAGCATTTCATCCATCTGTTAATTCTCAAAATAACCTTTGACTAAAATCCAACTAAAAGCTCCAAGGACTGAAAAAATTAAAATGACTGTCTTGAAAATGGCAATAGTCAACTGAAACTTTCAAAAACAACAAAAATTTCCTGCTCAAACACAAAATGATTCGACTTCCATAAAGCTTGGCATCTTAAAAAAAACTAGTCCATATAAAACATACCTCAAGAATCTTTATCAGCTTTTTACAATGCTATACCTTAATTGGATCATTTGTGCTTTTTTAAAAAAAGTTTTGATAAGTTAAAAAAAGATTAAAATTTTAATTACGAACTAATATGAAAATTCTAATCACCAATGATAAAATTTTTCCCCTACTATAAAAATCCTTGCTGTATACCTTACCCATTTATCACTCGCCCCAAAGAAATGCCTATAGCATTTATTACATCTTCCAGTTAGTCCAGAGAGTTATTTAGAATCAGGATTTTATCTTCAATCATTTATATACTTATCAAATATTCCAGAACTTAGTATGAGCCAGGCACTGTTCTGTGAATTAAAACAAAGATCGCTGCCCTCCTGAGGCTTATGGTCTAGAAAGAGTCAGCAAACTTTTTCTGTACAAGAAAGATAGGCAACATTTCAGGCCTTGTGAGCCATACTGGCTCTCACAGATATTTAACTTTGACTCCATGCAGGAAAGCGGCCATGGGCAGTATGTAAATAAATGGCCTATGTTCCAGTAAACCTGAAGGAGGTATAGAATTCAGCCAATGGGATATCTAGGAGAAGGGTGCTTCCAAGAGAAGGAACAGCTAGAGCAAAGGCCTTAAGTTATGGGTTTGCCTAATATGCTTCAGGAGCAGCTGGTTGTTCGAGCAGAGTAAGCAAGGGGGGAGAGTAGTAGGAAATGAGATCAGAGCACGGCCGGACAGAACCGCTCCCACAGGACCTTGCAAGGATTCAGATACCTTCATGAAAACTATCTTCCATTCAACAAAAGGTATGTTACATCTGCAACTATGTAAAAAATTTTTAGAATAAAACTACTTAACAGCAAAATGTGACACCCTTGTAGTCACCTTTGACCTTTTACAGCTCAATCATAAATAGGAGCATTTTTGCAAAAATACTCATTGGTGTCGCCAATGTTTGCTATGGAGCTCCATTACTTCTTTGCTATTCATTCTCCTTTTGAAGAATTTATTCTCTCATTATTCCTTTCCATTTCTCTTTAGTGATTTTGCGTGCATTTCAGGCAGTTCTCCAACATCAATTACACAAATTTCATGCAATTTTGCAGTTTGCATAAGATTTCCAATTTCACATTAAAATTTTCCCACCCATCCTTGCACTATATTGCTGAAATCAATCAAGAGACTGGGTCACAAAGATTCTGACAAAAGAACGTAGATAAACACTAATGTTTTATGAGAAGGAGTGGGAACTTTATAAAACTGGTCAGTTTATTAACAAATATTTTTATGTTATAATGGCTTTTGCTTTTATATGCAACTGTGGAGGTTTGGAAAATTAATTCACAATGAGGCTCTCTGCCCCCCATAAACTATCTCACATGGTTACTATGGTTTTCAGACCTAGTAGCATTTCTCTGACCAGATTAAGATCTTAGAGACATACCTCGTTGGCTGATTTAACAGGTATTTATTGGGTGCTAACTCCATGCTATTTAGCTGTGGTAAATACTGAAGACTCAAGGATAATAAAGAGACTAGGTATTTACTTCCATGTGAGTTACATTCTTAAAATGGAAGACAGGACAGTAAACTATTTTAAATTAAATATGTAATGGAAGATAAATTTGGAGAAGTGGAACATCCAAAATTCTATACTGTGATCTATAAAGCCTATATGATCAAACCTCTAATTATAATAGGAAGCCATCAAAACACAGAGCACTCAATTTAATTTTACTTATATTTTACCTAATAGCTAAGCATTTGTACATTACCCTATTTCACACTCACTTAGAATTTCCTGTTATTGGCTCACCAAGATTAAAAGTTAAAATTGAGAGTAATTAACTATGCAATTCATTTGTATAATTTCAGGGCAGATGAAATTGACCAGAGCCTCTCATTTAATGTAATCAGCTTCATTCACAAGCTCACTAGTCTATAATCATATAGATTCTCTGAACCATTCAAATATATGAAAAATCAGAAATTACAATTTTTTCTCAAATAGAAATCACCTTTTTTTCTTTATACTTACTATTTCTCTTTGCCACTCTATTATATTTATGTTAAACTTTTACTGGTAATTTCAAAGTTGCTTTCATTTAAAGAAATTTCCCTTTAGAGTAAAAACATCATGTCAGTAATCCTGTGCTATAAGGAAAATTCTATACTTACAGCTACAACAGCTTCAGCTACTCCAGTCAACACAGCTGGCCTAAGAGAATGCAGCAGAATCTTACTCTCAAGTAAAACAAAGAGCAGCAGTGTTGCACAATTCTCAGGACCCAGATTCATTAACAAGGTGCTAAAGTCGGCTCCACTACGAGAAAAGAAAAAAAGGTGATGAACTATTTTACTAAACATGTTAAGATTTGCTTATTAAACTATTTCCTAAATATTAACAGACTGTGAGTCTAATGTTAATTAGAAGTCCTGATTTAGTTATTACTGTGAAGTAGCAAATTTAATGAGCTAGTCTAACAGTATGTTTCAATCTCATCCTTTGGTAACAAAAGAGGAGTTTATCAGGGAAGATTTTCCCAAAGAACCACCATTTAGAGGTGGGGTTGGGCAGAAGCCAACACATGCAAAGGCAATGAGGCAAGAAAAAGCTACAGTCATGTCCACAAAATTGAAATACACCTATTGTGACTAAAGCATAGTAAGGAAGGGTCAAAAGATGACGTCAAAATAGAAATGATACAATTAAATTTACATTCTCAAAAGGACACCTGGCTGCAATGTGGATAAAGAAATGAAGGGAGAACAAAAGAATACCAGTTAAAAGGTTAATAATGAAGTTGTCCAGGTGAGACATTATGCTATCCTGAATGAGTGATCCAGAGGAACAGAAGGTAAGAGATTCAAGACATTTGGGGAGGTTAAAATCAGTTCACTTTGAATATTTAGCTACAAACTGGATAGGGGGACGGGGAAAAGAGAGGTATTTCCCACACCCAATCTTGCAACTCTCTCAGATATTCCATTTTTAAAATGGTGATGGCCCACCATCCAAACCCCACTATCAAAGCTAGAAACAGGAAGGTTATACTCATGTAAATATAACACGTAATTTTATTATCCTAACCCTTAAAATATTTTAAAGCATTCTGCTCCAAGTGAATGAATATAATGAATATATCATTTTAGATACCATTAATAATTACCTTAGTGGTAACGGTGTAGAAACTGGCTGTGATAATATTAATGCATCATGGACTGAAAGCTTCAAAAAAAAAAAAGATGAATAATCAAGCCAACTTGCAACATAAATATTCACATCAGGTAAAATAAAAAGTAGTTTAATATGCAGACTGACACAGGTTTGGAAATGTAGAAAGATACATTTGGTAAAACAATAGCTGTATTTACTCAGAGGTATTATTTTAGTTCTTTTAAATTAAATGGTTAATTCAAGTAAATTTTGATTCAGTTAACTGTTCAAAACAGTTATCTTTAAACTATGGAATAATTGCTTTTTAAAAGCTTGAAGTTTATTTACTCTATAGACTGGTAAGCATTTGGCTTGATTACATTATATTAATACTTCCTGAACTAAAGTATGTACTTGCTGAACTGAAGTACACTAAAGATTAACAAATATGTGACTTAATGCCACCATATCACATATAAAGTTGGTAACACCTTAGAAAAAATTTTTAAATAGCTTGCCTCTACGTTTCAATGCTACTCAAAGTGCCAGTCTGCAAACTGTTATTGGCCCAGGAAAAGATAGTTTATAAATGGAGAGCAAGCCATTCAGAAAGTTTTATGGCAAAAAGACACTCTCCAAGTGCCTGTACGTGATCAGAGGTCTCATGTCTTTGGACAGAGTACAGACGTTCACAACTACACTGATGTCACATGGTAAGGTGCACATGTAACAAGCTGTATACTTATATAGGTCTGCCACTGATTGGAAATAAAAAGAATTGGTCCTTTAACACAGAAAATGTGAAGACCACTATTACAATTTCACTTCTTTCCTCTAACCACAAATCACTTCATATTTAATATTTATTAATCACTCTGTTTAAAAATATGCCCATAACACATTTCTGGGTTTTACATTATTAAAATCAGCTACATAGATGCCATGCACAGACCAATGATGATATCATGATGAATCAAAGATTATAATCATTCCAATTCTGTACACACAGATAAAATATAAACTACACGAAATTCCAGGACTCTATGAACACATATTGCACCACCTCAAACTCGAAGGGCCACAGAATCAACTCTGCAATGACAAGGACAACACATACAGAGCTTCCTGCAATGGACTTGTTGTGATTACCTGTACAAGGATTCTTGGTCTCTGTGCTGAGGGAAAAGGGATGTTTTGCATAAAGTGTGAAATATGCCTAAAAAAAGGGGTGAAATATAGATCATAATTACTTTTCTAAAATGTTTCATAGGTTTTAACAAATTCTAAATATATTAAATATGTTATTATATATATCATCCTAATTCTGACAAAGCCACTGACCTAAAACTTATGCTAAATAAATATACTTAGCGTAAATAAATGTACTGATCCCACTAAACTTCTGAAATGTACAATGTATTTCCTGATTAAAGATTCATCTTAATATTGCCAGGAAAATAAAAGTAACACAAATACAGTTTTCTTAAAAGAAGCTTATTTTTATCGTTCTGATACCAGTGCCAGTACAGTGAGTAACTATCTGTGATACAATAATACAATTTAATCCTAATAAGTGATTAATATTAAATAGTAATTTAATCAATATAACTCTTTTACTATAACTCTGAGCAAACCACTTGCCCTCTCTATTTCTCTACCTACAATGCTTAAGTTTCTTCAAAGCTTTGAGCTGTTAGAAGCCACTAACACGCAAGTGGGAAAAAATATTGATCACATACCCTGATTTTATTTCCTCACACTATTCACAGAACCTCAATTTTTCAAAATGTTGCTAACTTGTCCCTAACATTACGTTTTATTTCAAACAATTTTAAGTTAATCTGAAAGCTGAAAGTTAAATCTAGAGCTATGAACTACTAGTCTGGCATTGCAAGAGGACAACACGAAAGCTGAACCCATGTTTCTACACCAAATCATGGTAAGTTTAAGCACAGTACTATTTTCTTAAGTTGCTTTTTGAGCAGCATTATTTTAAAACCCTCACAGAACTGCCCTATCCTTCTACTAACTAGTATCCTTCACTGATATTCTTTCTGCCATGAGACAAAATGTCTGAAATTATATGAAAAATCCATGTTTATGCACACCGTAATTCATTTCCACAAAGCTCTGGACACATCCTAGTTTGTCAGGAGGATAAATAAATCATTTACTATAATAAAAGTGAGTGTGCCATTGGAAGTCAGGAAAATATGTTTTTGGTTTTTTTTCTTAAGTAATCTCTACACTCAATGTGGGTCTTGATCCCATGACCCCCAGATCAAGAGTAGGATGCTCTACCAACTGAGCCGGTCAGGTGCCCCAAGATGTGGTTTTTAAAAGACAGCGGCTCCACATATATTTTTCTTGCTTACAATAGATATCCAGGACAAAGGGAATTACAAATGAAGTGGAAAATAAGTAGATTCTCTCAATACTAACACCAAAGCCTCTTTTTTGGCACCACTTAACTCACTCTTATTAATTTCTATATTGGTTTCGTGGTGCTTTATAGTGAGAACCTGGAATGGCCATTTATATGGTTCAGGTGTATGCTGGGTCAATAGCTATTTTTCTCTTTATTATTAGAGAATAAATAGGAAGAACACAGACAATACACTGTATAAGGAGTTCCTTCCTCAGCTGAATCCTCTAAAGATTATTATTTGATCATTCTAACCACCACTCCTCAATTTTAAAAATCAGTGATTCAGGTGAAGAACGGAACAAGTAAAAAGTAAGGTGACTGTGACTCTTTTTCCCTTTCAACTTTTCTTGCTTAAGTCAGGTAAACAATGAAATGTACACATAAACAACCAGTTTTTCCACCAGACATCTTTCTAATCATTATACATACTTTTCAATGGGAAGAGGATGTGGTCCAGACACAGACAGTTTGTAGATAAACATGAGAAATTTTCTAAAAGCTTCAAAAAAAGGCCAGTGTGAGAGCAAACAAATGCATTTGTTTGAATTGATGGATTTGGTGACTACTTTTCTCTCCACGGGAGTCAACAGGCCCAGTTGCATAAGCTGTTTCTCTGTCAGAAGTTCCCGAGAGTAAGGTTCATAAAACTGGATGGCAGCTCCATAGACCTACAGAGTTAACAGAATCCCACGACAAGATTTGAGTTTGTTTTTAAAAATTCTCCTTATCTCTCAGTACAGAAGAAACACTAGAGGGCATATGATAGACAAATGGTAAGAAAAATCTCAAATACTGTTGATGGGGATATAAAATGGCACAGCTGCTGTGGAAATCAGTTTGGTGGCTTCTCCAAAATTTAAAAAAGAATTACTGTATAACCCAGCAATTTCACTAGTAAGACTACACCCCAAAGAATTGAAAGTCAGAACTCAAACAGATACTTGTACACCAATGTTCACAGCAGCATTATTCACAATAGCCAAAGGGTGGAAACAACCCCAATGTCCACCAACAGATGAATGGATAAAACAATATGTGGTATATACATGCGTTGGAATGTTATTCGCCCTTCAATAGGAATGAAATTCTGATAGATACTACAACATGGTTGAACCTCAGAAGTACTATACTAAGTGAAATAAGCCAGATACAAAAGGACAAATATTATATAATTCCATTTATATGAGCTACCTAAAATAGGCAAGTTCACAGAAATTAGAATAGAGAATACCAGGAATCAGGGGTAAAGGTAGGAGAAGTTTCTGTTTAAGGTAATGAAAAAGTTCTGGAAACAGATAGTGATACTTTTCTTTTATAAATCTTATAACTACTTAGTCACTATATATATATAAATATCCATATATAACATATGTGTGTGTGTGTGTGTGTATATATATATACACATATCACTACACACATATAGTGAGTGTGTGTTACATTAACCCTTGTCTTTACAAATACAACACTCCCAGATACAATTATTTCAATGATCTCAGGGTTTTTTTTTTAAGTTTATTTATTTATTTATTTAGAGAATAAATGGGGTTGGGGCAGAGACAAAGGGAAAGAGAATTCCAAGAATCCTGACACAGCGCAGAGCCTAATGTAGAACTCGAACGCATGAACCATGAAACCATGACCTCAGCCAAAATCAAGTCAAATGCTTAACCAACTGAGTCACCCAGGAACCCTAATGATCTCAGAGATTTTTTTTCTTTTTTACAAACAATATGAGAAAAGAATCTCAATGAGGCTTTGTTGTTTTCAACCAATCAAAATAAATTTATTTTTTTAATGTTTATTTTATTTCTTTTTAATGTTTATTTAGACAGAAAGAGACAGAGCAGGAGCGGGGCAGGGTCAGAGAGGAGACAGAGAGTCTGAAGTATGATTCAGGATCTGAGCTGTCAGCACAGAGCCCAACGCAGGGTTCGAACTCACAAACCGTGAGATCGTGACCTGAGCTGAAGTCGGATACTTAACTGACTAAGCCAACCAGGTGCCCCCAATCAAAGTAAATTTAGTGACTCTTACGCATTTGAAGATCTTACAATTTTCATTTACTGCTTTCAGTGAGAGAATTTATAAATAATTATTAGCTAAAGACTTACCTTAGTTGTAAGAAACTCAGTTAATACAGTATTGGCATTCTTTCAGTGTATATTTTACTTACACTCCAGACACTATGCTGGATACATAAGCTTCACTCCAGACACTATGCTGGATACATAAGCTTCATTATCATTAATGCAGTGATTTTAAACTTACAGCCTACAGAATGATGCCAGATGTGTTCTGTTTGAGCCACAAGAGTCAGCTTTGGTTAGTTATACTTTTCAATAAACTATTTATCAAATTTCCTGAGAGCTTTTAACGTTTACATTTCTACTATATTCATAGTTTTACTTTTTATTTCCTAATATTGCTTCTCATCATCTCTTTTTATTTTAAATTATCATTTATGTCATTATTACTGCTTTATACATGTTTTCAATTATTGGTTATTAAAAAAAAGCATATACATGTCTTTTGGAAATTATGTACACTCACTTCCCTTGACATATGCTCAGGAGTGTAACTGCTGAGCCACACAGTTTTCTTTTCCTTGCTGATAACATAGAAGTTCTTTATATACTCTGGATAGGGGGCAGTTCTTGAATATATACACATTGCACTAGTTTCTCCCAGCCTGTGGCTGCTTTTTCACCTTCTTAATGCTATCTTTTTATGAAGATTTTTTTCTACTCCAGTGAGGTCTAATTATTCATCTTTTCTTTTATGACTAGTACTTTATTTTTTGTTTGTTTTATTTTTGAGACAGAGAGAGACAGAGCATGAGTGGGGGAGGAGCAAAGAGAGAGGGAGACACAGTATCTGAAACAGGCTCCAGGCTCTGAGCTGTCAGCACAGAACTCAATGTGGAGCTTGAACCCACAAACCAAGGGATCATGACCTGAGCCGAAGTCGGACGCTTAACCGACTAAACCACCCAGGCACCCTATGACTAGTACTTTTTTAAAAATATGACATATAATGTTATATTAATTTCAGGTGTACAATAAAGTGATTGAGCAATTCCATATATTACTCAGTTGCTCATCAAGATAAAGGTACTCTTAATTCCCATTACCTACTTCACCCATGCTCCCACCTACCTCCACTCTAGTAACCATCTGCTTGTTCTCTATAAATAAAAGTCTAGCCTTTTGGCTTTTCCCTTTTTTCCCCTTTGTTCACTTGTTCCATTTTTTAAATTCCACATTATGAGTAAAATTATATGGTATTTGTTCTTTCTCTGACTGACTTATTTCACTTAGCATTATACTCTAGATCCATCCATGTTGTTGCAAATGACAGGATTTCATTCTTTTTCTGACTGAATATTCCATTGTGTGTGTGTGTGTGTGTGTGTGTGTGTGTGTACACTCATCTATCAATGGACACTTGGACTGCTTCAATAATTTAGCTATTTAAATACTGCTGCAGTAAACACAGGGGTGCATACATCCCTTTGAATTAGTGTTTTCATATTCCTTAGGTAAAAACTCAGTAGTGGGACTACTGGATTATAAGGTATTTCTATTTTTAATTTTTTGAGAAACCTCCATATTGTTATCCACAGTGGCTGTACAATGTGCATTCCCACCAACAGTGCAAGCGGGGGGTCCTTTTTCTCCACATTCTCACCAATACTTGTTGTTTCTTGTGTTTTTTATTTTAGCCATTCTAACCAGATGTGATATCTTGTGGTTCTGATTTGCATTTCTCTGATGATGAGTGAAATTGAGCATTTTTTCATGTGCCTGTTGGCCATCTGTATATCTTCTTTAGAGAAATATCTGTTCGTGTCTTCTGCCTATTTTTAAATTGGATTATATGTGGGGGGGTTTGCTGTTGAGTTATGTAAGTTCTTTATATATTTTGGATACTACCCCTTTATCAGATCTCAGTTGCATAACTTCTCTCATTCAGTATGTTGTCTATTAGTTTTGTTGGTTGTTTCCTTTGAAACAATGAAAACCAAAAAGATTTTATTGTGATATAGTGCCAGTAGCTTATTTTTACTTTCGCTTCTCTTGCCTCAGGAGACAGATCTAGAAAGATGCTGCTATGCCTGACGTAAGAGAAACTACTACCTATGCTCTCTTCTAGGATTTTATAGTTTCAGGTTACACACATAGGTCCTTAATCCATTTTGAGTTTATTTTCATGGTTAAGGAAATGATCTAATTTCATTCTTTGGCATATGCCTGCTCAGTTTTCCTTACACTATTTGTTAAAGAAACTGTCTTTTTTCCAGTACATATTGTTGCCTCTTTTGACAAAGAATTGACCATACAGTTGTGGGTGTATTTCTGAGCTTTCTAGTCTGTTCCATTGATCTGTGTATCTGTTTTTTGTGTCAGTACCATACTGTTTTGATTACTACATATTTGTAGTATAACATGAAATCTGGAACTGTGATTACCTCCAACTTTATTTTTCTATTTCAAGATCGCTTTGGCTATATGGAGTCTTTTATGATTCCATACAAATTTGAGCCTGTTTGTTCTCGTTCTATGAAAAATGCTATTGTATTTTGATAGGAATTGCATTAAATCTGTAGATTGCTTGGGGTAGTATAGTCATTTTAACAAGATTTGTTCTGGGGCATCTGATTGGCTCAGTCTGTTAAGCATCCAACTCTTGATTTCTGCTCAGGTCATGATCTCACAGTTCATGGGATCAAATCTGCGTCAGTGCAGAGTCTGCCTGGGATTCTCTTTCTCTGGCCCTCCCCTGCTCAAACATACATGTGTACACACTCTCTCTCTCTCAAAATAAATAAATGAACATTAAGAAAAATAGTACTTGTTCTTCCAAACCAAGAGCATGGAATATCTTTCCATTTCTTTCTGTCACCTTCAATTTCTTTCATCAATGTTCATAGTTTTCACAGTATAGGTCTTTCACCTCCTTGGTTATGTTCATTCCTAAATATTTTATTATTTCTTGTGCATTGGTAAATGGGATTATTTTCTTAATCTCTCTTTCTGCTGCTTCATTATTAGTGTATACAAATGCAACAGATTTCTGCACATTTTGTATCTTTCAACTTTACTGAATTCCATTATCAGTTCTAGTACTGTTTTGGTGAAGTCTCCATGTTATACATACATACATATATATATATAGTATCATGCCATCTGAAAATAGTCTAAGTTTTATTTCTTCCTTGCTGATGTGGATACCTTTTATTTCTTTTTGTTGTGTGATTGCTGCAGCTAGAATTTGTAACACTAACTGAATAAGCTGTGAGAGTGGACATCCTTGTCCTGTTACTGACCTTAGCAGAAAAGCTCTGTCTCTCCCTGTTGAGGGTAATGTTCACTGTAGGTTTTTCATATATGGCCTTCATCATGGTGACATATGCTCTTTCTAAACCTGCTCTGAGGGTTTTTTTTATCACAAATGGATATTGTACTTTGCACCTCTTGAAATGATCATATGGTTTTTAATCTTCCTTACTGATGTGATATATCACATTAATATGCAAATAATGAACCATCCTTGCATCTCTGGAATAAATCCCACCTGATTGGGGTGAATAATTTTTTTAATGTATTGTTGGATTCAGTTTGCTAGTATTTTGTTGAGAATTTTTACATCTATGATCATCAAAGATATTGGCCTATAGTTCTTTTTTTTTTTTTTTTTTGTAGTATGTTTATCTGGTTTTAGTATCAGAGTAATACTAGCCTCATAGTATGAATTTGGAAGTTTTCCTTCCTCTTCTATTTTGGGAAAAGTTTGAGAAGAATAGATACTAACTCTTTAAATGTTTGGTACAATGTGCCTGTGAAACCATCAGGTCCTGGACTTTTGTTTGACAGTTTTTACTGATTCAATTTCACTGCTTATAATTGGTTGGTTCAAATTTTCTGTTTCTTCCTGATTCCATTTCAGGAAATTTTATGTTTGCAGGAATTTATCCATTTCTTCTAGGTTGACAAGTTTGTTGGCATATAATGTTTCATAATATTCTCTTAAAATTGTATTTCTGTGGTTTCAGTTATTTCTCCTCTTTCATTTCTGATTTTGTTTGAGTCCTCTCTCTCTCTTTCTCTCTCTTTTTAATGAATCTGGCTAGAGATTTACAATTTTGTTGATCTTTTCAAAGGACCAGCTCCTGGTTTCATTGATCTGTTCTACTGTTTTTTTAGTTTCTATATCATTTGTTTCTGCTCTAATCTTATGTCTTTCCTTCTGCTGGTTTGGGGTTTTGTTTATTCTTTTTCTAACACTACTAGGTGTATGGTTAGGTTGTTTGAGATTTTTCTTGCTTCTTGAGGTAGATCTGTACTGCTATTAAACTTCCTTCTTAGAACCGCTTTTAGTGCATCCCAAAGATTTTGGACTGTTGTGTTTTAATTTTTATTTGTTTCCATGTATTTTTTAAATTTCTTCTTTGATTCCTTGGTTGACCCATTCTTCGTTTAGTAGTGGCATGTTATCTGAGCTGCATGTATTTGTGCTCTTTCCAGCTTTTTTTCGGGTGGCTGATTTCTAGTTTGATTATGCTGTGGTAAGAAGAGATGCATGGTATGACTTTGATCTTTTTGAATTTGCTGAGATTTATTTTGTGGCCTAATATGTGATCTATTCCAGAGAATGCTCCATGCGCACCTGAAAAGAATGTGTATTCTGCTGTTTTAGGATAGAATGTTCTAAATATATCTTTTAAATCCACCTGGTCCAGTGCTTCATTCAAAGCATGATAAATGCTTCTCCCCTCCTTCACTTTCCATCTGCAGGTGTCTTTAGGCCCGAAATGGCCTTGTTGGTAGAATACAGATGAGTCTTGTTTTTTTATCCATTATGTCACCCTATGTCTTTTGATTGGAGCATTTAGTTCATTTACATTCAAAGTAATTATTGATATGTATGTGTTCACTGCCATTTTGTTACTTGCTTTGTGACTGTTTTTGTAGATCTTTTCTGCTCCTTTCTTCCCTTGCTCTCTTCTCTCACAGTTTCCTTTCTTTAGTAATACAGATGGATTCCTTTCTCTTTATGTTTTGCATATCTATTACTGGTTTACAATGTGTGGTTACGATTAAGTATGCATGTAACATGTTCTTCACACAGCAGTCTATATTAAGTGGATGGTCACTTAAGTTTGATCTTATTCCTTACTCCTCTCTGCCTCACATTTTAGGAATATGGTGTCATACCTTGTACCCTTTTATGAGTCCCTTGACTGATTTTTACAGACATACTTATTTTTACTGCTTTTATGCTTCCTACTTTTCTTATTTTTACTTATGGCCTTTCCTTTCTACTCAAAGAGTCCCATCTAACATTTCTTGTAGGGCTGGTTTAGTGGTCATGAACTCCGTTAACTTTTGTTTGGGAAATTCTATCTCTCCTATTCTGAATGACAGACTTGCTAGTAGAGTATTCTTGGCTGCAGATTTATCCCACTCAGCACTTTGAATATATCATGCCACTTTTTGTGTTCTTCATCTCGGAGTTGTTAAATAGTCTCACTGATGTTATCTACTCTTTTCTCAAAGTCAGGGAGTATCTTTATGATCGTTACTTTAAATTCTCTATCAGGCCTATTACTTACCTCAGTTTCACTTAGGTCTTTTGTGTGGTTTTGTCCTATTCTTTCATCTGGAACATATTCCTGTTTCCTCATTTTGTCTAACTCTGTTTCTATTTCTGTGAGGTAGGAAACACACCTAAGTCTCCTGCTCTTAAAAGTAGTGGGTGGACCACACAGTTTTAACAAGGTCCGTGCTGGTCCTCATAAGGAGGGGACATGCCTCCACCACCAAGACTAGCCCTGCCAATCTGCAAAGCACATGTTGGGGGGCAGGGTGGTACACACAGTACCCCGAAGTTTTGCACCAACTCTCTTCCACAGGGGATGTGCAGGCACTGCCAAGACTAGGGCCAGCTGGGGCTGATCTGCAAAGGCAGGGAGCTCAGTTCTAATAAGGTGCGTGCATCCTCCACAGGATGTAACCAGCCATTGCTACCAGGACCGAGGCCCCACAAAATGCACTGTCAGAGGACTTGGTGTTGGCAAGGTCTCTGTTGGTCCTCTGGGGTGAGGGACTTGTAGCACCAGGGCTGAGGCGGGCCTGGCTGGGAAGGCAAGGTGCGGTACAATTAACTTAGATAGTAAATGGCTCCCACAGGGAGCTGTGCAGTTATGCTGGCAAGTGGGGGAGGGAAATGGTACCAGCCAGCTCTTCTGTTCCTGGAGAAGTCCCTCGAGGAAACTTTTCCTCCAGGAAACACTCTGAGATGGGTAATTAACTCTCCCTCCCCTACGTGCCAACACAGGCCTTCTTCAAACTGCTGCTTCCATGCTGTATCTCTGCAGGTTGTTTGTTGTGCTGTCTTTTTAAGGGTGGAGACTCAATTTCCAATCACTCTCCCTGCTCTCCTAAAACCTAAAACTGACCTGCTGATTTTTGAAGTTCCAGGCTTTAAGTCCCACTGGTTGTGAAGAACTCATGAAATTCAGCCTCTCTGGTTTTCAAAGCCAAATATCATGAGGATTCGTGTTACCCACACAGGCTCCCAGGTGTGAGGTCTCTCCCCTCTCCATGCTGGTGTGTCCCTCCCTCCGACAGCCCTATTGGTCCTTTTAGCTTCCAACCACTTCTCTGCCCTTCCTACCTTCTTCCATGTGGTCTCTTCTCTACATTTAGTTGTGGGGTCTGTTATCCCAGGCTGTTTTCTGGGCTATTTACACTGATATGAGTGTCACCTAGTTGTATCCATGGGACAAGGTGAACCCAGGATCCTCTTACTCTGCCATCTTCCCTGAAGTCTGGCTAGTACTTTCCATATGCTGTTTAAATGATCTTTGCTTACTCCCTCTATTTTATTACATTATTTATCTTCTGATCCTCTGTGACAACTGAGTAACAATCCTGAACCTCAGGATATTCATTAAATATCCACTAGTCTTTCTGGTTCTATCCTCTACATTTTTAAATTCTTTTTATATGTTTTTCTGTGCCACATTTGAGGTAACCTATCTTGCACTTCATTAATTTTCCCTTCATGTACGTCTTATCTACTGTTCAAACCATTTGCTGAATCTTTAATTTTAAGGGATGTATTTTTCATTTCTAGACACCTAATTCTGTTCCCAGTCTGTCTATTCATTTCACAAAACAATACTGTTTTTCTCCGATTCATTTGAATCATTCCAATTATATTTTCAATTTATATCTTTCATAGTGCCATTCTATCATTTCAACATCTTCAGGGTCCAATCCAGCTTTGTACTGTGTCTTGTTGGTTCTTCCTATATTTATATAGGAATTTATATCTTCTGACTTTTACTATACTCTCATCTTGAAGTTTGGATTTTGGGGGTATCTCTCTAGAAAGGCTTTGTATCTGCTTCTGTACAAGTTCCCAGAGGTATCAGCATCCTGATACCAACTGTCATGTTGACTTCTCACCTTGGGCATTATAGTAAAAATTTAATCCAAAATATATTGCGTCTAAATAATCCTAACACTCAAATAAACATACATCAGATTAATCATTTTATGAGATAAAAACATGGGACAAAACAAGTTTAATAAAAAAAGGAAAAAAATCTACCTTTTCAGCAGAAGAACCTGTCAGGACAAAAGTTGAAAAAACTGGAAGTGGATATTTGGTTTGAGGATCCCAACATTCAATAGTAGCTCCCATGGGAAGGCAGAAGAGAGGTACGGATTCTGACAGTGGAAATGACTCATAGTCATCTTCTGGATATCTAAAAATTAAACCTTTTGGAGAAAGGAGACAATAATAAATTTTTTTAAATAGTTACTTTTCCATAAATTATATCTGACACATATATTAGTAGCAAACTTCATGGAAATATTTGTGTGAAATTTCAAAACAAATTTTTCTCTTGTCATAAGAAATTTAAATAAATTAACAGATTTACCATTTTTTAATATCATGGACTTATAGTTCATTATAACATTAAAATGTATTAAATATACAAGTTAAAACTCTATTCAACAGGACCACCAATCTCAATATATTCTCTTCTACATACCACAACATCTTGTGGAGAGTGGTAAGGAACATAAAGGGAAGTTTACCAACTATTTCAGTAAACAATTCAGGGAAGAGGTAAGCGTTATGAAATAATGCCAAGGCAACAGATCAGAGCCCCTAAACTCATCTTGAGAGAGCAGCGGTATAAAAAGCATTAAACATGAAAAAGTAAACAAGACAGAAATTCTGTGGCTGAATACAAAGTATGTGAGAACAACAAAGCAGGAGCAGGGCCACTCTCCCAACATAATAATGCCCCTTCAGAATAAAGTAGCTCTAAAGCATCATTCGTTAGCCTCTGATGTCTAATAGGCAGACTACCTCTAAGTTAAACTCTTGAAAGTCAGTAGCAGAATTCGGAGTTAAAATTCAGTGTGCAAAACTCTATATACCAAAATATGTCTTTAATCAAATACCTGAATGTTTTCACAAAGCATGTTTCTATGAGGGTTTTTTTTTTTAAGTGATACTTCCCTCTACTCCCCCCCCACACACACATAAATTTAGGAAATTACATGCAATCAACACATTACAGCAGTATTACCAGTATCACATTTTAAAATGATACTGAAATTTTTAATTATTATTTGCTGTCTTTATTTTTATATTAAAAGTTACATGGTCTGATTGATTAGCATGAATGTCTTTAAGAAGACAAGATTTTTCAGATATGGATTTGCCAGACTTCCCTGAAATAAAAACTTTATTACAAAAATTGCGGCACCTGGGTGGCTCAGCTGGTAAAGTGTCCGACTCATGATTTCAGTTCAGGTCATGATCTCACAAGATCAAGCCCCACTTGAGTTCTGCACTGAGCGTGGTGCCTGCTTAAGATTCTCTCTCTCTCTCTCTCTCTCTCTCTCTCTCTCTCTCTCTCCCTCCCCCCCCCCCCCCCCCCCCCTCCCTCTGCCCCTTTCCCCAGCTGGCACGCTCTCTCTTTCTCGCTCTCAAAATAAACAAACATTAAAAATAATAATTATAAAATANCCCCTCCCCCTCTCTCCCTCTGCCCCTTTCCCCAGCTGGCACGCTCTCTCTTTCTCGCTCTCAAAATAAACAAACATTAAAAATAATAATTATAAAATAAACAAAAACTGCATGATCAAAAAGTAACTGACACTGCTTCTTTTGACAAGGAAGTATTCCAGTATCTCTTCTATTTACAACTGGAGCATACCTGTAGTTTCAGTTTTTATCCCACCATACCAGTGGGATGAAGAGGTCACACTTAAATCTTTACAGCCCTTGACACTTTACTGTGCAGTAAGAATGTGGCGATAGATTTCTCAAACACTTCATGGCAGAAAAGTTTCTCAGGCCCTCCTCTCCTCCATATAGCTGTTTCTTTGCAACAAAGGAGAAAGGAAGCAAGTCCACCTTTCATGGCAAGTAACATGTGGTTTCAAATCAGACACACAGAGATAAGAGAAGGAAATATAAGAAGTAAAGATGCAGTTTGACACCTTTCCGATTGCCAAAATATAAAAGGTCAGAGAGAGTAAGCAGTTTCTCACTGAACTCTTAAATCTATTAGTGTAGACTAAAAGCTTGAATGTTCACTTCCCAAACGCTTACCTGGGATGAAAACTTCTATTTAAAAACATGTTTGCGGTAAGGGGGATATAATATTAATATACCTTGTAACATGTAATGTATGTAAGAGAAGTTATGCCTTTACATGCTAAAATTACAGACAATTCAATTTAGGAATAGATCAATCCCATAAACTATATAAGGGAGCATACATCGTCTGCTCTAACCAAATGCTAATGTTAGGCGAGTGTGATGACCACTACACTACAGAAACTAACCAAATGTTAATGTACAATAACTACAGTAACAAGTGTTTTTAATTTACTCACCAGCTTTATATGCTATTGCATTAGAAGCAGGCACAGACTTCTTATAACACAGAAATACACTGGAACCCCACTGTAAAATAGAAATTATTTTTTAAGAAGACCAAAGAGAGAAAATAAATTGATTCTGTTGAATGTCTTTTAAATATTCTATTTATTCACTAAAGTCTATGTAAAACATGTTTATCAAACAGACTATAAACTATAAAATAAAGCAAAACACTACATTCAGAACACTAAATGAAAAAAAAAAAGGAGTAAAAAAACATTGCCACAAAAATTAAATTGATAAAGTTTCCAAAAGTTTAGAATGGTGTAATGAGACACTCCTGAAAGAAATAGCACAAAGCGGAGTAGGCCCTGGGACCCAAACTAGGGAAGACTGGGTAATTGAGAACCATGAAGTCATTACCTCCAGGGGCAAACTGTCGTGACTAATAGCCATGGGTACATCAGTCATCTTTGTCTATATCACATTAAAGCTAGTAATAGTTTTATCTAAAAATATTTTTCAAAATAAATCTGACCCAGTAGTAAACTTTAGTATCATAAAAGTATAAATCAGGGGTGCTTGAGTAGCTCAATCTGTTAAGCGTCCGACTTCAGCTCAGGTCATGATCTCACTGTTTGTGGGTTTGAGCCCCACATCAGGCTCCATGCTGACAGCTCAGAGCCTGAAGCCTGCTTCAGATTCTGTGTCTCCCTCTCTCTCTCTGTACCCCTTCCCCTCCCTCCATCCCTCCTCCCTCTCCTCTCTTAAAAATAAACATTAAAAAAAATGTTAAGTATAAATTAAATGCATATGTTCAATTTTCTTATTCATTAGAGCCCTTTTAAAAAATAAGTATGTAAGGGGCTTCTGGCTGGCTCAGTTGGTAGAGCATGCAACTCTGATCTCAGGGTTATGAGTTCAAAATCCTAAATGGGTGTGGAGCCCACTTAAAAAAACATGTAATACTACAATAATTAAAATAAATAAATATAAGGGAAGTTCTCTATCCAGTCTCCCTAGAGTAGTCCATGAAGACACCACTAAAACACAAAAGCTAATAAAACCTCTATAGTGTAACATAAGCAGTATTAGCAGATACCAAAAAGTTTGTTTAAATCCCTAACTTTAATTATTTCTCAGTGAAATTATTCTAAAAATCAGATAGCTAAGGATATAAAAATTATTATGAATCATAAAAGAGAGCTAAAAATAATAAAAACCATGAAAATATAAACACAGTAAATTATACACCCAATAGTAAACAGGAGTCCAAAAATTATCCTTAGGGGTTGGTGTTAACAGTACATAAGAAACAACTTTATTCTTACCATTCCACAATTTAAGTTTTTGTCAACTTTGCAGAAAGTATGAGGAGGGGTTTCTCCTTTACTGGTTACAATAACACAGATATCAGTTACAGCCAAGGAATTCTGGGGTCGAATTAGAGGAGCCCTTCGATAAGTGATAAAGATTCTTTGGGAAGTAGTTGAACTATTGTTGACATTGGCACAGCGACCATAGGGTGTGGCTTGGATCACTTCACATCCTGGAATAAGCCTTTCTTTCCCTTCATATAAAACTCTGCATGGCAGGGAGGGGAAAAATAGATAGGCAGATAGGTAAGTAAACATATTTCTGGCCTTCCTCTAGAAAACAAACCAACAAAAAAATGGAGAGGGAGTGAGTTCCTCTAATGTTTCTCAAATCTTAATTATAAACCAAAAGTAAAATAATTTTTGGGAATTACAGATCTCTTAGCTATTATTTTTCAAAGCTGGAATATAATTTTAAGAGCAAATACGATCAAATAACTTGATTTTTTTTATTGATTACAAGAAACATATGAAATAAGGGGCAATACCACAAACATCCCAAGGTTGACTCCTAAATCAAGTATTCAGATGTTTTCACAAAATTTCCTTCAGAATTCCTGTCAAAATTTTACCTTTAAAATCCTTTGACTAAACCTACAAAACACTGTTTAAAGAAATTAGACATGAGCTAATAAATAAAGACATCCCACGGCCATGGATACCAAGACGTAATATTTGGTAAGATGTCAATATTTCCCAAAGAGATCTACAGAGTCAGTATTAATTCCTATCTATATCCTAGCTGCCTTTATGTACTGAAACCAGTAACATGAGGGGCGCTTGGGTGGCTCAGTCAGTTGAGCGTCTGACCAGCTCAGGTTATGATCTCAAAGCTTGTGGGTTTAAGCCCCGTGTCCAGCTCAGAGTCTGGAGCCTGCTTCAGAATCTGTATCTCCCTCTCTCTCTGCGCCTCCTTTACTCATGCTCTGTCTCTCTCTCAAAAATAAATAAGCATTAAAAAAATTTTTTTTAAGAAATTGGTAACATGATCCTAAAGTTCATATGGAGATGCGAGTAACTCAGTATAGACAAAGTAAACTGGGGAAAAAAAAAAGAACAAAGTTGGAGGACTCACACTCTTCCATTTCAAAAATTAGAACAAATCTAGTCATCAGCACAGTGTGGTGTTGCCATAAAGGTAAACCTACAGACCAATGGAAAGGCATGAACAGTGCGAAATTAAACCCATACATTTACAGTCAATTGATTCTGACAAGAGTGCCAAGATAATTCAATAGGAAAAAAACCGTCTTTTCAACAAATGGTGCTGGGACAACTGGGTATCAAATGCAAAAGAAAAAGAAGTTCAATCCCTTCCTTATACTACATACAAGGAACAGATCAAGCACTTAAATATGAGCTAGAATAACAACTAGCTAGAATAACTGTCAGACAAAAAACTATAGGAATAAAAATTTGTGACCTTAAGTTCGACAAAGCCTTCTTATATAGGATACCAAAAGCACAAGTGACAAAAGAAAAATATCTTAAAAACTGAACTTTGCCAAAATAAAAAACATCCATGCTACAAGTGACACCATCAAGAAAGTGAAAAGACAACGGAAAGAATGTGAGAAAATATTTGCAAATCATGTATCTAGTTAGAGAATTCATTCCAGAATATGTAAATTACAAATCAATACAGAGAGATAAATAACAATTTTAAAATGGATATAGGACTGTCAAAGAATATATGGGAATTCTCTGTACTATCCTTAACAACTCTTCTGTAAAACTAAAATTATTTTAAAATAAAACATTTTCTTTTCTTTTTCTTAAGTGGACAAAGAATCGAAATAGGCATTTGCCCAAAGAAGATATGGCCGAAAAGATGAAAAGATGCTCAGCATATTAGCTATCAGGGAATTACAAGTCAAAACCACAATAAGATAACACTTCACATACACTGGGAAGACTATAATCAGAAAGACAGATAATTACAAATGATGGTAAGGTGAGGGTGTAAAGAAAGTGGAATCCTTATACAAAGCTGGTGGGAATCAACTGCTTTGGAAAACAGTCTTGACAGCTCTTCTAAGGGTTAAACGTGAAACTTCTGTATGACTCAGCAATTCTACTCCCAGGTATACACCCAAAAGAAATGAAAACACATATCTGAACAAATACTGGCACACAAATACACATTTAACAGCATTATTCATAACAGCCAAAAAGTGGAAACAAGCAATGAAGGAATAGATGCATAGAATTGGGCATACCCATATAAAAGAATATTGTTCAGCACTTAAAAGCAATGAAGTACTAATACATGACACAAATCCATGAATCTTGTCAACAAAGGGCACATGTAGTATGATCTCATTTATATATGCAGAATAGGCATATCTATAGAGACAGAAAGTAAACTAGTAGTTGTCTAGGGTTAGAGATAGAAAGGGGTATCAGAGAGTGACTGCTAATGAATATGGAGTTTCCTTTTAGGGTGATGAAAATGTTCTAAAATTAGCTGTGGTGATAGCTACAAAAAAACCTGTGAGTATACTAAGACCAATAAATTGTACACTTGAGATGGCTGAATTGTGTAATTATGTGAATTATATGGCAATTAAGCTGTTAGAACTCAACTAAATATTTAAAAAATAATAATATAAAGCCTCTATATTTAAATCAGGATAGTATTAGCAAATGTGAATAAACAGATAGAACAATGAACACAAAAGAAATCTAGTATGATAAAGGTGACATCTCAAAATACTGCAGGAAAAGTTGGCTTTTTAAAAATTTAATAAACAGTGCTTGAATAACTGAATTGCCATTTGGCAAAAAAATTCTATCTCTACTTCACACTGTACACCAGAAAAGGCTCCCAGTGGATCAATGTAAAAAATGGAACTAAACTAGGTGGCTGAATTGGTTGAGCATCCGACTCTTGATTTTGGCTCAGGTCATGATCCCAAGGTGGTGAGGTTGAGCTTCATGTCCAGCTCTGCACTGAGCATAGAGCCTGCTGAAAATTCTCTCCCCACCCCCCACCCTGCCCTTCTTCCCTGCTCATGCACACCTCTAAAATAAAATTTAAAAAAAGAAAGAAAACTTAGCAGTGGGAAAAGTGTAACTATGACTCAAAATCTAGAAGCAATAAAAGGGAGTAATAAAATAAACTTCATCAAATAAGCTTTACATGACAAAAAACACGAGTGAAAAGACAAATTATAAACTTGGAGGAAACATTCGGAGACTTATTTCACAAAAAGTTCATCTTCCTAGTACATAAAAATGTCCTTAAAAAAAAAAAAATATATATATATATATATATGCCAAAAAAGACGCCCAAACCCTGTTTCTAAAAAGATATCAACACAATTAATGCCAAAAGACATTAACAGTTCACAAAAGAAAAAAGGAAAATGGTCTTTAAACATGAAGAAATGCTTAATCTCAATAAAATCACCCTGACACATCATTTCTTGACTGTGATACTGACAAAAATTCAAATACTTGATCACATATTTTGTGGATGGGACTATGGGGAAAGAAAACACTTACATAATATACTGATGTTGGGAGTACATAATGGTGGGACCACAATGGAGAGAAATTTGATAACATTTAACAAAATTATGCACACATTTATCTTTTATTCCAGCAATTTACTTCTAGGGCTATCTGAAAATATACTTCCACAAACAGTAATAATATATATGCACAGTTATTCACCAAACAGAACCCAAATGTCCATCAATAGAGGTTTGGATGAATAAAGCATATACATCCACAGAAATAAGCACTATAGAGCTATGAAAAAAGAAGGAGAAAGATCTCCATGTTCAGATACGGAGTAATACACTGTTGGGTGAAAAAAAGCAAAGTGTAAAAGAGTGATTATAGTATTTATATTTTGTTTAAGAGGAAGAATCAAAAATCATTTTTATGTTTGTAAAAACACACAGTAAAAGGATAAATCAGAAATTACATTAACGGGAAGAGAGGGCAGAAAGTACAGAGAAAAAAGTAAAGAAAATGAAGACTGAAGCAATACTTCTCTAAATATATCTTTATACATGTTTTATACATGCAGTATTATTACAATATTTTCCATATTAAGAGAAATTTTTTTTTTTAACAAATGAAACACAAGTAGAAACAGATGAAGCTAAGTGCATAGCAAATTGGTAACATAACCACATAGAAATACTATTTCATGGGGCACCTAGGTGGATCAGTTGGTTAAGCATCCATCCTAAGTGTCCATTTGATTCTTGATTTTGGCTGAGGTCAGGATCTCACGGTTCATGAGTTTGAGTCCTGCGTCGGGCTCAACACTGACAGTGTGAAGCCTACTTGGGATTCTCTTTCTCTGTCTCTCTCTCAAAAAAAAAAATAAATAAACTTAAAAAAATACTATTTCATGTAATTTTTTAACAAAGTAATACTCTATAAATGCTTAATGGGTCTTATTCTAAGGGCAAGAACTCAGTAAACAGGTTTACTATTGGTAGTAATACTGATACTGTAATTTTGAAATTACCTTATGTATATAAAATAAAGCAATAAGTAACATGTTTATGATTTGAGAACCAAGATTTTAGGTGTAAAAGAAACAAGATACAATCCAAAATGAGTTAAGAAAAAGTTCTTTAATGTTAAGCTTGATCCTGAAATCTTAACTCACGATTTAAAAGATAGATATAAAAATAGACACCTCAGTAACAATGAATACATATAGCTCCAGATTTTGATTGACAAAGCAGTCAGCTGGAAAGGGATCCCACTGGTCAAACCTAGGACAATGTGAGCAAACAGAATAGGATTTTAATAGATTTTTATCACATAGAATAAATTAAAATCCATAGTTTTAGCTATTCTCAAAACAATAAAAAAAGCAAAAGACAGAATAAGAAAGCTCTTCACTCAAGCTCTTCAAGAAAAATGACAGTTAAACAACTTATTTTTGGGGGTGCCTGGGTGGCTCAGTCAGTTAAGCATCCGACTTTGGCTCAGGTCATGATCTCATGGTTCATGGGTTTGAGCCTGTTTCGGATGCTGTGTGTGTGTCTCTCTCTCTGTCCCTCCCCTGCTCATGCTGTCTTTCTCTCAGAAATAAATTTTTAAAACATTAAAAAAACTTGTTTTTTAAGTTTAAGACAGTTAAAAAGTCTAATTTTACATCCCCCACCCACCCATGCAAGATCTAATTCAAACAATGATCAATGGATGCTAAAAAAATGAGAAGTGTAAAAGAGCTAG